GGGGCTTCCTGTGAGGGGCCCACTCGAAAAGCCCATCAAAGCCACGCTGGTGTCGTAACCTTCAGTTGCTGGTAAGCTCGGAAGCTCATGTCAACTTCACTGAGCTGGCAATGACCCACATGCTATTCCTAGCGTGAAGAATGCTTAGCAGGTTGGGAGTTTTCCCTCAAGAGCGACAGTGAGGGGGGCACACCTGGTTAACATGGAGCCTGCCTACGTTCCGTTGTTGTGTGGAGTATCCCAACAGCCAGAAAGTGTCGAGGGGGAAACTCTAAACACCACTTAAGGTGATTAAGTGACCCGCAGAGGATTTTGGGATCAATGTGCTTTGACTGTCTGCCAATAATGGATTTCAGATGCACGTCTGAAACTCGGATAGGCAGAATAAAAAGTACATGGACAAAAACTATTGGTTGGGGAAGATAAGGGAAATCTGTGGGTGGTTGCAGCCTCAACAGTTTGCCTTGCATCCTTCTGGGAAGACGGGTTTTGGAGTGAGTCTGTCGGAATTTCTGAGTGTTTGTCAGGTCAGAGGCCATTGAGGTTGTTTATCCAGAAGGCGCAAAGACATGCAGTGATTCCCGTGACTTGGTTAAATCAAGGTTGGGGAACACTGCCTTAGTGGACCTTTTTTACAGTCCCGTCCAAAAGTATTGGAGCGGCAAGCTCAATTCCTTTGTTTTTGTTATATGCTGAAGACATTTGGATTTCCGATCAAAAGATGAATGTCAGATAGATGTTTATAATTCCAGTTTAGATTTCATGGGATTGACATGTAAATGTGTGAAGCAACTCAGGACAGAGCACCTTTGGTTTCAAGCCACTCATTTTTCAAGTACCGTAAGCTAACGTATTAGTACGGACATTATTAGATGAACGGAAAGTTTAATATTTGGAGGGGTAACCCTTACTTGCAATAACTGCAACAAACCTACAACCCAAAGACATCACCAGACTGTTGGGTTCTTCATTTGAAATGCTTTTCCAGACCTTTACTGCAGCCTCTGTCAGTTCTTGTTTGTTTTTGTGGGGTTCTCCTTTCAGTCTTTTCTTCAGCAAGAAAAATAAAGGGTCAATTGGGATGCAAGTTTAATGAAGCAAGCTGGCAAGCTGTTGATCTGACTGACATGGACTGAGTCCAAGTGGGTGAGCTGACCACGAACAATGAAATTGGCCCATCTCATCCAGCGATATCACAGGGAATGGGGCTGGAACTTTGTTCGATCAACAAAGTTCCAGCAACAGGACAACTCAATGACTAAAATGCAAATACGGGCAAATGGGTTATGTTGGAGTCTTGGTTCCTTTAGGAGCCCCGATACCAGTGTGTGTGGGGAGTTTGCGGCAGTGGGTGAAGAACACTCAGAGAATTTAGGATTTTCATCCAAGGGAATAAGTCCAGGAGAAAATCCTTTGTCCTCATTGAGTTACTCAACATTTGTCACGTACAAGAAGCTTCTTGCGGTTTCTTTTCAGCACGTGCTGGAAGCAGTGCAACCAGAGAGGCTGATTGAGCTCGCAGCGGATATGAGGAGAACCCTGGCACGTTCGTCTTCCTCCCCTTTTGTTAGCCACGTGCGTCCTTATTAGGGTCTGACAGAGGCTATTTCGACGATTGATATATTTTAAAAAAAAAGGCTTGGAGTTGATTCCAAAAGGGTTTTGGGAATGTTCCTCCTTCAAATAACTCCTTGAAAGAACGCCACCGGTTGCCAATTGCGCTGGCATTCCTGCCTGCCAACATGTCGGATGTTCATCCAGCCACCTGCTTCATCATTGTGAAGAGGAAGGAGACTAGCACCATGGCAACCAGGCGTGTTCATGTTCTACCCCTTTAGTCACGTCTCCCTTTAAAAAAGAAAAAAAAAGTCACCCACCTCCTGTCCGACTAATCTTTCAGGATGATATCTTTATACCTTTAACAAGCGTGTAATTAAAAGTACTCGAATAATCAATTTTGCCGATTGTAATATCATTTATCAATAAACTGGGGCATTCAGGCATCATGGCAGTACCGTCATTATCATTCAGGTATTCCGATGTGGACATAAAATTCGCGGAATGTTGCGAATGAAGTCGTCCAACGCGATGCTACGCTAGCATATTAACATTAGCTAACATGACTTGTGGCAGTTTCTTGAGTCAGGAGTGACATTGTGTGAATTGATTTGAAACAATTTCAGCATAAAGAGTGACTGTATTACTCATATTGTTATAGTACGATAGTCAGCGTTTCACAAGTGATTAACACAAGAATGACGTTTTGTTTCCTCTTCCTGAGCCGATGTAATTGGCCCCATTTAGATCACAAGAAGGCTGTTGATTTTAATCTTAATTAACTTAATTATGCCACGTCTCCAATACAGACATGGTGTCTAGGAAGGCCAAAACCGTCCTCACACAAAAACACGCGGAAACACACGACATGCCGAGTTGCCTTAAACCTAACATGCGAATACACAGTGATTGACTCGGCAGGCCAAAAAAGGTTAACAACAAAACGCGGTTGTTGCACACCAGGAAGTGAAAGACCCCAGTGTGTCCCTGCAAGCAAAGACGCCCCCCCTCACGAAGACACACACATTTGTGTTAATGGTTTACACGTGGCTCCATGCAGTGCACACGGTTCCAGTTGGATGATGGCGTGGGGTGAGTCAGCGTGTGGTGTGTTTTGAAATGGAGGACTCACAAGGAGTGTAGGTGACTAAGTGTGTGTGGATTCCTTGAGTAAGGTTTGTGAGCTAGCGCAACAAATGCAGAGATTGAGGAATAGCGAGAAAGACGGAGAACAAGGGATGTGAGTCATTAAGCGGGATGTTTAGACAGGAAGAGAGACCAAGTGAAGGAGTACCCGAAAACAAGTATAAACAACTCACCGCATTCTCCCTATGACTCATGAGAAATAATTGTCAGTACTGTAAAGGAAAATCACAATTTTATCTATATATATATATATATGTATATATAGATATATGTATATATATATATATATAAGTTGAGAATGTGTGCAGCACAGTGTCGACTGGTTAGCACGTCCGCATCACAGTGCAGACGTCCAGGGTTCGATTCCAGACTTCCTGTGTGGAGTTAGCATGTTCTCCTATGAGTACGTGGGTTTTCTCCAGGTACTCGGGTATCCTCCCACATTCCAAAAACATGTAGGGCAGGCTAGTGGAACTCTCTAAGTTGTCCCTAGGTGTGACTGTCATTGTGTTTGTGAATGGTTGTTTGTCTTTGCGTGCCCTGCGATTGGCTGGCAGCCAGCGTCGTGCGTACCCCGCCTACTGCCCGAAAACAGCTGGGATAGGCTCTAGCACGCCCGCGAGCCACGTCAGGCCAAGCGGTGAAGTTGCGAATGTATCGAATTGAATCGTATCGAATTGAATCGTCGCACTTGGAGGGATATATCTTTGAAGAAAATGCCACATTTACAGCAGTCACAAGTTCATTCAAATGTATGTAAAATAAAACAAAAAAACAGAAAAGGCATTGCATCATACCTTCCAGAACTGAGCCGTACGTATGTTGAATCGAATCGGAATCCCACTGAGGTGAACCGAATCCTTTCGCACACCGGGTATCAAAAAATCGTATCGAATCGTTTTTTGTGGCGAGATGCACATCCCACATCTCTCTCTCTCTCTCTCTCTCTCTCTCTCTCTCTCTCTCTCGCTCTCTCTAGTAGCTAGCTAGCTAACTAGCTAGATACACACACACACACACACACACACACATACACACACACACACACACACACACACACACTACATATTCCCGTGAGTATGGTTATATTATCTGTCTACATATGTTGCTGTACCGCTTGTGTTCAGCATTATAACGGCGCCATCTAGATGCTATTCGTTAGCCTGTCTGTGGCTTTTCCCAATCTGTGTTAGCGCTGAACTGCAGTTAACTTCCAATGGAAAGTTATGTGGTTGTTTTAAATCCACACAATATGTAGCTCTTTTTATTTTACTCTGTGTGTGGTGTGACAGTAAACGTCAACTGGAGTGGCATTAAAACATCCTGAAGCCTCTATTTTGAAGAATTACCCTCTGCCAAACTGCTGCTTGTCTTGAAACGAGTCGGAGTTGAATATACGCTTTTGGTGGGATCCCAAAATGCACTGCGTGGTTTTCTTCTCTTGACCCGGGCTGGGTTGTTTGTCAAAATGCTGGTGTTGGCCGCGTTGAGCTGCGCGCACCGGTGACTTCACTCTTTCCAGTGTTGCGTTTCAAGTACTGGCTCAACTTGACGAGCTTGTCATTTTCTCTCGTGTCACACGGGCCAGCCTGTCAGCCAAGTGTGATGGGTTAAAGGAAACCGTTCAGAGACTGCATCCAAACAGTCACCGAATCACAATTCAAAACCCTCTGCTCTGTCGCCACTGGTGACATAATGATAATCGGCATTAATCCTTGTTTGTGTGCATTTCTATTTCAATCTCCTCTTAATCTCCGTGTTACAGTTGTAGTGAGAATGAATGGAGAAATTTGGTCATGGTTTGGACATCAATCTACACTGTTCCTCGCAACAAATTGGCCATTTTTCTTTTTGCTAAAATGCTGCGAGCTGCTTAGAAAATATCGGTATGGTGTGCGGGACAGAATGTGTTCTCCCTGCTCTGGTGTGGTGGATGTCACCCTGAGGGCTGCCTGGCTAACATGCTCAGTCAAACACACGCATGCATGCACACACATACTCACGTTAAGTAAATATTACCCAAAAAAACAGTGAATCACTGGACCAGGCCAAACAAACAAAAAAAAAGTTGAATCATTCAACCATTACGTGGGGCAGCTATGACTTTGGGCATTGTTTCATTCAACCATCGATGGGCACATCACCAAACAAAAATACCCAAAAATGTTTTTGTACTCAAATTTGACGGTTGGTAGTAGAAGAGATTTGTATTTTTGGGTGACCGCAGTGCTCTAAAGTGAGTTATTTATGTTGAAAAAGCAACACATTGCCTACACTCTCCCGAGTATGGCGACAAATGTTTCCTGGCATGCTGAACGGCAGGCAGCCTTTGTGGTTTGGCCCTGCGTGATACACGTCCATGACATTCAAGAGGCTCTGGAGGCCTGTTTGCATTTTTTATCTGCCCTGATGTTGCTGCGAGGCTCCAGCGGGCTGCATTGAATGTGAGCTTTGTGTTGTTTTAGGTGAGTTTTTTTTTTTTTTTTAGGACATAAAGGCACTTGATGATGACGCATGAGCTGAGTTGAACCGAAATAGCTTGTGTGAAAGCCGTGTCGGAGCGCATGAGGGACGGTTGGGACGGACGTGAGACACCGTTTTGGACGCTTACAGACCAAATGCAGAACGTGGTGGCTGGCTTTCATCAGCCAGTAAATGAAAGAAAAAGAAGTGTTGGGGGGGAGCACATTCAAGCTGATTAATTGACATGGACGGCATTTTTATAAAGTGTGTTCATTTTGGATTTTGAGGCAGATAAGAAGAAAAAAATGAAAGTTGAACTGCACCTTCCTAAGAGCCACTTGCTCCTAATTTCGACAAAAACAACCTGTATTCTCATTGTAAATCTTTTCGGACATGAACGCAACTTTGCGTCACGGAAGAAGTTCACTTTCAAAAAGAAGAAAGCAATCTCTTGTTTGCTTGAGCTGTCTCCAGTCTACGTATCACATGTTAATGGGGCATCCCGTGTTGGTCACATGTGTTTTGTAGCTACGGTCAAGTAATATCGTGTGTTTGGCGCTGATGGGTAGCAGAAGAAAAAGTTTGCCGGAAAGTGAGACAAGGGGCATTGTTTAAGCGCCACGCGGCCGACTTTTTCCACCCCTTCCTGCTTCCCGTCGGCCTCCTGCCATCACTTCCCTGTCTGGCGCGTCCTCACCCACCCCGCTATCTCCTCCCTTCGTCCCCTTTTGCTCTCAGCTCGACAAAACGTTGCTGTTGATGAAGCACAGCAGGCCAGCAGGCTAATCCCGAGCATGAGGCCAGTGTCCTGAAGTCTATTTTGGTCAATGAAATGTACCTTGATGTCAGCCAAGAGAAACTCGCATCACCCTTTTGGGGGGGGGGGGGGGTAATTTGTCCTCATGTCCGACCCTGAATTGTCCTCATGTCCAACCCTGAATGGATCTCCGTACATCGCATGGCTATTCCTGCATGTATTTGTTTATGCCGCCATATTGGACGGTATCGTGTGGCACCTGTGCGCTAAGGAATCACAATAGAGAATGATAAAACGCATATTTATCTGGGTGATTGCTTACGATCATACACATTTTTTTCTCTTAACCCATAAGAGCCCAGACCCATTTTTCCAAAAGGTTTTGATGGGTTAAAATCAGACAAAATTCCGAGCCGGCTCGGGAAGCGGCGGCGGGCGTGGGCTCGCTAGCAGCCTCCTCGGCACTGGAGTCACCGTTGTCACGTCTTTCACCGCCATTGAATAGTAAATAACGATACAATCACGTTTGATGGTTAAACTGATTCAGTCATTGGCTCACCTGGTATGAAGTGATAGCGACACAAGCGGTAACCGCCACTATGAGAAGAATGCCACTTTCCCGTCTTGTTCTTGGCCCTCCTTTTGATGGCATTTATGATGCCTTGTTTTTTTGTTAGTTTTTTTATTAAGTCTTTACAGTGCTTGCCCCTTCCCTTGTCCCCTTTTGCTGTGGCACCCCGATTGTCAAAGCGTGCCATTTGCTCATACTCAAACCAGCAACATGTTATCTATACTGCTAAAGCAGCATTATTTACATTTGGCGCAGTGCATTGTGGGATGCGTGACAACAATGTCATGAGCTCCACACACACAATAAGACTATTACACACCCTCAAAATTTATATTAGTAAAATAAAAATTAGTCAGTCATTCAGAATTCCTGCTTGGAATCACTTTCAGCAGTGTTGAAAGTGTACAACATTCAGGCTCACTCGGAGCTCAAATGAGTGGCTGACTCATGATCAGGATTTTCCAGTTAAAATGTTGGCTGAAAAACCCGGACTTGCTTCATCAACCGTATGGCAAAATGCGCCTGCAGTTTGTCTGTGCTGACCCACTTTTGTGTCTTAAGTCTAAATGCAGCGTGTTGTACATGACGGGTGTCGCAATCTGCTGTTTTTCAACCCTAACTGGCGTTTGAGCTGTGCGCCACTGACGCCGCTTCTACTACACGCCAAGAGAAATCCGAACTGGGCCTTTCTGATCGTCTTACACACACAACTGACACGCACGCACAATGACACGACGGCTCTGCGCCGTCACTTTTCATTCCCGCTGCGACTCGCCGACTCACAGTATGTCTTGCCTCCGCCGCGACGGAGTAACGACGTGTTTGAAATCCAGTACTCGAGCACAGTGGTACTCAAAAGTTTTTACATTGAGCGCCACCGCACAAATAACACGACAGATAGGTTTTATTCCTCAAAATTGTATTTATAAATGTTTAAAATCCAGTTTGAACACTTAATTCCGTGATTTGTTCGCACACCACTAGAGGGAGCCCTCGTAGCGCAAGTGATCCTCATACGAAGTGCAATATTCATTTTTAACGTTTTATAGAGTCAATAAATTCCCCTTCTGCACATGAAATGAAGAGCTTATTGGAGTGCCATGAAATTTCTCCTTGCAAATATAATCTTTAATACTCGTCAGTTCATGAAATAAGACGCCTTCACTAAGCTGTCAGGCGTGTTTGGCAAAGTTTGACAAGGTTGCCAAACAGGATATAAGCTAATCTCCATAACGGCTTCCTGGCTTGCAAATTTTATTTCTTTTTTTTTTTTTTCTTGGTTGCCCTTTTAGACCCGTTGTGGATTACAAAATGACACCGAAACACAACCCTAATGGATTTGTGGATTGCTGAACTCAAATGTCTCTTTCATCAAGCCTTAGCCACATTTTTTTCTTATCACTTGGGAAGCAAATTGTACGTTTTTTTTTTTTTTTTTTCAAAACTGCTCAAGTGTGCAAATTTCTGTCAGCAATCTGTGAGTCAATCGTCTGCAAAGCAGCACAAAGGGCGCTCGAGGGAAGCAGACTAAAAGTCAGAGGGAGTGTTTTGGGAATCCTCCCTTGTGGATCTTTTCTTTGTTTCTCCTGTAGACTCTTGCAAGCCATCCCGCCTCAGGCTCCCCGATTTCACGCAGGCTCTCCAATAGATTTCAAGTTGTACTTGGTGGATTTGGAAATGGATGGACGGACACAAAGGAAAAAGAAGCAAATGCCTATTTATTGCCTTCCAGAGTAGCACTTGGATACCATTTTTTTCTTTTTTTTGTGAGTGACACCAACCTGTCTGGATGTGCTTGAGTGAAAATGTGTCTTCATGATATATTCATAAAAGAATGACGATTGGATTCATGTGACACACAAGGAGCAGTGTTGAGTTTGTTTGGGGGGTAGTGGGCAGGTGCACAGACAGCTGGTGCGGGCGACTCGGGCTGAGGGAGAAGCGAAGAGATGCCAGAATCCTGGAGAAGCACGTCAATAATAATGGCAGCAACATCAAATGCAGAGGTTTCTGAAAAATATTCCAGCTGTTGCTGAACCAAACCCTTCATAAATATTACTAAATATATTAGGCTATATTACTTACTGTATTGTTGTTATTGTATTATTATAATTCTTATTAAAATTTTTATTACGATGAAGACCTGATTGGTTGGAGGAGAAACGAGGGTAAATTTTGAATCAGCGCAAAAAAAAAAAATCTGGAAAAGTGAGTTGCATCGCTGATAAAAAAAAAAATAGTAAAATGATGTTGATCGATGTTATTTTTCAAAATCGTTCAGCCCAAGCCAAAAGTGGGGAAACAACGTTCAAAGAAAGACCGCGAGAGAGCGTGTGAGTGATTTGTGTGTGTGGTTTATTATTACTGTAATTTTCTTGACCTTTTGTTGAGCTCGTCGATTGTTTCTCTGTCGTTGTTACTTTTGGAAGAATGTCTCCCTCTAGAGGTCACATTCGGTAGCTCACTGTTGGGAGAAAGGCCAGATATGGCTGAGCTGCTGCATTTTTAGTCAAACGCACAGGCAGTTCTGGTGTGAGCAACATTCAAGACACTTTACACAAGCTAAAATTAGAAGTCAGATGACATTATGCGCGCTCTTCCTCTTCTAGTTTTATACTGTTAAAAAAAAAGGTGGGTGAACTCAAAACTTTCAGCCAACAAACCGATCAAATTTTAAGTTGGGCAATTCAACTATTTTAAGTATTATTGTTGTGAAAATTGGCTTTCCCGCAACTGGCTTGCTTTGTTGCGCGAACTAAAATTGTTCCAACTTAAATGACTGTTTTAGCCGCAAAATACACAACTTGTCCACTTGACAGTTTGGTAACACTTTTTTTTTTTTAAATGAAAACCTTGATGGCGGTGTTCCCTCGCTCACTTTCTTCCCAGGAGGAGGCCATCCCAGAACTTGAGATCGATGTGGATGAACTGCTGGATATGCCCAGTGATGTGGAGCGGGCCGCCAGGGTCAAGGTAGGACAACGAACAGGGTGGTTTGATACCAGGGGTGCCCAAGCCCGGTCCCCGAGAGCCCTTATCCAGCCTGTTTTAGATGTCTCCTTTCTCCATCACATCTGATTCAAGTGATCAGGATCGTTACCAGGCTTCCGCAAAGCTTGTCAAACCAGACTTGGGCAACTCTCATTTTGGACTCATTTTAAAATGCATTCGGAGCTAAAATGGATCCATTCCTGTTTCGCAGGACTTACTGGTGGACTGCTTTAAACCCACTGCGGTAAGAACACCGTCCCCCTTGTTTCGAATGTTTTCTTTCCTACCGAGTTTGGCTCAAGTGTGTCGTCTATGATGTAGGATTTCATCTCAGAGCTCCTGGACAAGATCCGAGGGATGCAGAAGCTTTCCACACCTCAGAAAAAATGATGGCATCCTTCCCTTCCATCATCCTTCGTTCATCAGCCACCTCTCGTCTTCCTCGCACCCACCCTTCTCACCCGTTTTGTCACTCAAGTCATCAAGTGCTGGAGTTTAAGGGAAGACTAGTCATATTTTACTCGGCAGGTCAGGGGTTTAGTCAAAAAGTTCATCGTCTGCTTTGTTTTGGAGGTCGTTTTTCGACGGAAGTCCTTGCAGAGTTTAGGGGTGATCTTTACTGTACACCACCAATGCCTCCTTTTTACCGCATTTACTGCATTGAAAGACTGCTGAAAAAAAAAATCTGCACTCTGACCATCAACAATTATACACGGTGTATTTTTAGACCAGCGTCAATCGAAAAAAAAAAGGAAAAAAAAGAAGGAAAAAAAAAAAGATCGTACTGTAGATGTGGCTAAAGTAGGTTTTCTTAAATTCCAGTGTGTTTTTCTGCCCTCTAATGTGCAGTGGGCCCGCGCATATTCTGGTTGCTAAATGTTACAATCATCATAGCACGTTTTCTTCATTTGACAGTTTTTTTTTTCTGCTGTTCTTTATGAGAAAGTTATTTTTTAGTAAAGGACTGGTTCCTCTTAGTTGATTTGTTTTGGGCGGGTCACTCTCTCTTGCAGTCCCTCAACTAAGCTGCCTTGTTGTTTTTATAATTGTTATAATCTTCTATGTCACTCTTTATTCCCTTTCTTGCTGCTGCTCTTGCTCCCTTTCTGGCCATTTTCAGCCCACTTCATTCTTTTGTGCTCAGCTCGTTGCGGTCACGTGAAGGTGGGAAGTGTCACCAGAGCTGTCTCGGGATTTCATGATGTCATCAAAGTCACCAATCGCGTGACGGGTGTTAGCAAAGGTTCAATTTTGAACACTTTGAATACACCCCCCACCCAACCCCTCACCCACCCCGTCAAAATTGAGGACTGGAAAAGCATGAATCTACACAGCTGTCTCTCAGCTGCGTTTCTAGCTGCAGCTGCCAGTTACATCAGAGAATGAGCCATTTGTCTCGAATCTCATGCCTGTCCGGTCCAGAGAGTGATCGGTGGCCAATAGGAGAAGCACAAACGTTTTGCTGTGATTCCTGTGACCAATCGCCAGCACCTGTGGCGGCGGCAGCAGGACAACGCTATCATGTGTGCGCGCCGTCTCATTCGTGTCCTCGCTCTCCTCCATTTTCATCCGCTTGCTTCTTTTCACGCTTTCTTTTCTTTAAGAAACAGATGTTGCCTTAGGTATTATTTATGTTACACAAACCAAATAAATGGAGGACTTTTTTTTTAAGGTGTAAAGTGTGTTACTGAGCTTTTTTTTTTTTTAAACAAATGATATTCATGTTTTGGCTTTTTTATTGTTATTTTTAGAAGTGAGTGTTTAATACTTAGGCCTTGATACAGTGATAATGTTCTTGACATTTACCATTTGAATACTGATCTGTTTTTAATGCGATCATGAAACGTCTTTCATGCTAGGCCATGGATTTACACAAACAAAAAATCCAATCAGATGCTAATTCCTTTGGCTGTCCTTGTGTCATACCCAAACCGGCACTGTTTGCAGGAAACTTTAAGATTGTACTACAAGAAGAGGCAAGGTCAACCAGAGTCACATACCTTTTTAGACTGTTCAGATTTTTTTTTTACTGTTGGAGAAAATTGCAAAAAAAAAAAAAAAAAATCAATCTACTGATTATTGGCATTGAGGCTAAATACAAGAGCTAAACAGTGCAGAAAGAAGCTTGTGCTTTTTTTTGGACGATTGAATCAAGCCAACAAACAAATGTAGCAATATCAACAACAGGAATTGTTTTTGTCCACTTTTGTTACACTTTTATGCAACTTTAATAAAAACATGTAAAACTGAATGCTTGACTCTTGCCTTAGTCACTGGATCCCGGACACATGCAGTAAATTAGCGTCACCTGGTGGTCAATTGACCTGTATTGCATCCACATACAGATTTAGGAAGAAATAATTCAGCCGAAATTTATTAGTTTGAAAGCGTAATACAGAAACACATGTAATAATTACTACTGTGAAAGTTATACATTTAAGTACAAGTTTATTATTAACATTTATTGGTACTTCCGGGTACAGAGGCGGCAAAACGTTTTTGAGGCGTGTCATTGGTTTCGACGTAACCGAAATCTTGTTCGCTATTGGTTTATCTTACTGGCGTGCTCGGATCTGATTGGCGGCCTCTACTAGGGTTAAGTGTCTGTTAAATTGATGATGCGAGGTTGGGGGGCGGGGGGGGGGAATAAACGGAGATGCGCAGTTGTTTGGAGCAAAACAACTTTATCTGAATTTACTGACGTTTAGCAGCTAGCTAACTCCCGTGATTGACAATAGCATCGGGACCTTGCTCTCTAGCAACTTTAAAAGTCTCAGCTGTTGAAGCTCTTTTGTAATCTTCCCGTCAATCTAACAAATTATGATCCCAAATCACTTTATTAACAGTGCTGCAAATAAATAATAATGATTCAAATTCTTTCAAAACAAGCAGATCTGAAAATGAAACAAAGGTACACCGTTTCAATTTGATGAGTGTTTATTTCTTTCCTCCTCAAAGCTGTTTGCTGAGTTTGCGCGCCTGCCTCTCGCGGGCCTCGAAGGCCAACTTGGTCTCCATCAGCTCATCCAGCTGGCGGCGTATGTGCACCATGTCCAGCTGCGAGGCCTCGCACTGCTGCCGCAGCGCGGACGACTCCACCCGCAGCTGCGTGGCGGCCAGCGACAGTTGCTCGCTGCGCTCGCGGCACTGCGTCTGCATCCGATTGGCGTCGCGCAGCAGCGACTCCACGCTCACCGCCACCGAGTCAAACTGGTCTTGCGACATTTCCTGGTCAGGAGGGAATGCATAATTTAAAGGTCAGGGTGGCAGACCAGATACTTAGCTGAGAGTGGAATTGTGGATAAAGGCTTAGCACCTGAACAAAATTGCTTTTAAAATCGTTTATTCAAGTTATCGCATTAAAATCGCTTTTGCATTACCAAACAAAATATGGATGTGAAGGGCAGGCGTTATTTGGAGTCACCATCCTTACATTCTACACTGTCGTGTCTGTGACTTTGAGTGTGTATGGCTTTGAGTGACAAGTGCGTCAGCGAGTGTAGTGGACTGTTGTTAGCTCAGGTTAGCCAGTCTGCGTGTTGAATGTGCCTATTATGTGCTTATTGTCTTACTGTTTGTTGAATAAAGTTATGGGTGCATTACAATATGTTCTAACAAGCAGCGATAGGCTGTGTGAAATTAGCTAATGATGATTTGCGATTGTAGACGCACCATTGTGTAAGCAAAATTCTGCTTTCCAGTTGCTGTACTGCCTTTATTTTATTTTTAAGTGTCCAATTATCTCTTCAAAATGTATGTTTCATGTTTTGTACGGTACATATTGATAGTTTTAAAAAAAATTGTGTCATCCAAAATAATAAAACATAACACATGAATAGTAAATGCTTGATATACAGGTACAGTACTAGAAGTGTAATAATGCACTGTAAAAAAATTCAAAGCAACAAACTTTGATAACATTTTACAGGTAAATTGGGCAGGTCAAGTAAAAATGTTCTTTGCTGGCTTTCCCTTATTTCACAACAAAGAAATACGAGTTTATGGAACTGTAGTCCCTTGCATGAAAACCCAATTTTAAAGATATAAAAACAACTTGCTTCCTTTATTGCGCTAACATTGTTTTTATAAATCTCAAAAATTTGTTTTCACTGACACGACTATTTTAGCTGAAAACTACCAGTGGTGTTTTTTTTCCAATGTTGTAAACTTACCATGGATTCCAGAGTCAGATCTATAACAAGCCTGGTACTTGTCTTTTCAGACTCAATTTCCAGATGTTCCTCGGTCTGCTCCAGAGTGCTGCTGTTCTTTGGTCTACTCTGTGGAAATCCTGGGGGCTGTATTTGAATAATAAATGAATCTGAAATGCACAGCTTTTTTAGGCCTTGGAAGAAGCGCGGTTCATTTTCTCGAGACTCGTCCCCTGGCGTCTTCAGTGTCAATGTAGTGTGAGCATGCTTTACTTCCGCGCCCAACTCGTTTGTTAATCCGAAGAGATTAAACACTTAAAAGAGAGCGAAAGGTAGCCGCGAGATGACAGTTGTAATCTTATTAAGTCTATTTCCATTGATCTGTGGCTGTGGCTCCACTTCATGACACTTGCAATGCCGATTCCACAAAAACCTCCGCTTTCAACGTAGAAAATTCAACAACATGGTTCCATTTCACAAAATGTCTGCATTTTAAAGGTCAAATTGTCTCTTGCATGCAGCGAATGGCCAACTTTTTTTTTTGAGGGAGGCCTTTAGCGTTCTCATCGATGCACATTGTGCTGCTCATTCTGGCCACGTGGGGGCAGTATAGGACTATATACAGGACATCGAGAAAAGACGTCACAACTCCTCGGCGGTCGCGTGAGCTGTTCTTCGCAGAAACTGAAAGATGTATGACTAAGTAATGTTATATTGTCTGTGTTGCTGTATGTTTGTGTTCACTTTACCACATTATACTACGGCCACATAGATGCTAGCATTAAGCTGCCAAACTAAGGGCTCAGATACGCAAATGTTTGAAATGCACGCCATGTAATTCTTTGTTTGAAGTTCTACTTGAGGTTAACCGCGGGTGGCGATAAACAACTTGTAGTCTCTTCATTGAGAATATTTACTCTCTAAATTGCTGCTTGCAAAGTGAGGTTAGTCGATGCCACCATGCAGCGCTAGTATCTCATTTTTGCACTCCCAAGTCAAAACTGCTCATATGGCCAGCGAGGTAAAAATGGTTTTAGAAATCCTCTACACTCAAAATACTCTCATGGAATGTTGATGACACAACTGATTGCAAACCAGCAACGCCCAAACCTCTGGACAGTCAAAAGGAGACAAATGTCATTTTCCATCTGGCAACTAATGTCGAGAAAGATTCCTAACATGGTTTGATGTCAAAATAAAAGAGTGCGTTGTGAGTTGAAAATTTACTCAATGAAATGAAACAGAAGGTCAAAGGACATACCTGTAGATTTGACATTTTACAGTGATTATGTTCAAAACATCATTTGCCAGACTCATCAAATACATTAAAAGCACTTGCGTAGCCAATAGGTGTGGGTTTAAGTGCATACAAACAGTCATTACAAAAAAAAAAAAACGTGCGTGTTCATAGCTGCATCACTGAGGCCTTGCAGGGCGGTTGAAAAAGGGCTCTGTCTCGGCGGCCGTCACCCCAGCCTCACCGAAGAGCCCGCCGGTTGGCCCGCTCAGACCTCCCGTGATCACCTTGGACTGCGAGTTCTGGCGCCTCTGAATGATGACCAGCACGCCGATGAGGAGCCAAAAGAAGAAGTTGACCCACACGGCCGTCTTTAAGAGGAAGCGGACAGCCGATTGGCAGGGAGCCGTGATGCAATTACAATAACGGAGTGAACGTCACGCTGACCTCGGCTTTCTGTAGGCCGCTGTAGAAGTTGTCTCCTTCGATCGGATTGACCCATTTCTTAGTCTGGGCTCCCTCGCAGCTTCACATGCATCCGACAGAAATATATTATTCATCTGTAATATCCCTTGGTAAAATGTCAGCGTGCAGACTACCTGGTGATGTTGGGAACGCCGCGCATCACCGAGTTGCAAAGCACATCTCGTCCGATCTTGAGCACGCAGCCTGAGATGAGCAGGAAGAAGAGGAAGACGCCGCACATGACCATCGCCGCATTCATCCACACGTGCTCCCTGCGTTCACAGACAGATATGTGGACAGTGGTACCCCCGCTATATCGCGGTTCATCGGTCGTAACCCTCTATCGAGACACATGCATACACACGTATACACACACGTACATATGAGGGTTTTTTTCATTACCTGTGAACGTCACCGTCGATGAAGATGGCATATAACCAGTAGAGAGACAGCGAGAAGCAGAGCACAGCCACCATGATCGATATGGCCGAGACAAAGTAGCACACGGAGGCGGAGCTGGACACCTGAACCCCAATGGTGCTTTCTGTTGCATTGTAGCTCACAAGTCCATAGAGCATGCACAAGCCTCCAAAATTACCCTGGAGGAGTTTGTAAACCAAATAGATGATACTAAAAATAACATTTGACATGGGCCACAAGGTTAGTTTAAAAAAAAAGGTGAAGGTGCGGGCAGAGTGAGAAGGGAGGGTGTGGTTTTAGAATTTTCCAGCTATATTCAAAGATACAAATAAACCATTAATAAAGAATAACCCAATCTTCAAAACACTGTAGTGAATAAAGATAATTCAGTTTTAGAGGCAAAAATATTTTCTTCCACTTTGTGCTCTGTGGCCGATTTATAAAAACGTCACGTTAAGGATCCTCAAGTAACTGAAAAATGGTCACCTTACTCCAATTTGCCTTAATGCCTTTCAGAGAAAGAAATTAACTAGACAATACAAACAATATATATTTGCTTTCTTGACTGATTTTAGTGAGTTTCAGAAAGTTGTCCACTTTTAAAGTGGCTCTTTCATCCTTCCTTTTCTCTGTATGCAGCCCTCAAACAAAAAAGTTTGGACACCCGTTGTAAACATTTATTTGGCACACCTGGTATTTCATCTAAAGTACAGACTTATGTTTCGAGCTTCAAGTGTAAAGGTCCAAGTAGAACAATTTTTTTCCATTTGGAATATTTGTGTGGTTAGTGTGGTCCTAATTGGTTGGATGACATCATATAACTTTTTTGCATCAATCCATTGGATTCCTTTACTTTTTATGTGATGTCATCTTCTCCCCCTTTGTTAGCTTTTTTGTACTGTTTTTTTAACCTTTAGAACATGATTTTGTCCTAATTTGTTTTGAGAAAAAATATATATATATATTTTTTATCATCCGAAATTGGTTAGCTTCTGGGGCTACACTGCATTTTTTTTTCAATCATTATGTGATCATGACGTTTGACAAAGCACTTTTCAGGTGTGCGATTTGAGATTAAATTTGTTTGCCTTATCTGTCGCTGCCCCCACCCTCTGGAACTCTCGATTACAACACATTCGCAACTGTACTGACCTTCAATCCTTCAAATCATCTCTTAAAACTCACCTGTTCCGCAATGCTTTCAACACCTTTTAATCTATTTTACCCATTTCTGCTTTGTTTTTCTTCTTCTAAATGTGTTGATTTTAAATCATGTATACTTGGCTTTAAAGTGTGCATTTTTATCTCGTGTTTTAAACTCTTGTAAAGTGTCTTTGAATACGATGAAAAGCGCTTTCGAAATTAAATGTATTATTATGTCATTATTATTACTACTACATTGAGATCTGTTTCGAATTTTTTGCGCCTTCCTGTGGGCCTGTAATTTTATTATTTGGGGAGAAACGGCAGCATCTGAATGTTTTCTGCTGGTGGGATGTTGCACGGTCCAGCATAATGGGCCACGAGGACCCTGTGGTCACATGGTTGGATCTGAACCCATGACTGTTGTTATGACGCTCAATCTTGAAAAATAAATGCGACGGGGTGAGAAGAAAATTTACGATACCTTGGCTGGTTTGGGGGGGTTTTCTCAGAACTTTCGATCAAGGTAACTTTTACCCGGAAGGGGGTAGTGAGAATGCACATTTAAAGTTGTAAAAGGCTTGTTGATCGGTCTGTCAAGTCACCTGGACGACGGTGAGGGAGGCGGCGGTGACAATTCCGCAGACGAAGCAGCAGGCGTACAGGACCAGCTCCAGCAGCAACAAACCGGGGAGCGCCATCATCAAAACGCAACTGCCAGATTCTTGTCCTCTGCGGCTGTGAAGACAGTGTGATTGAAGTGGGAAACATCCGGTAAATTGCATCAAAATAAAAGCTTTACGGTAGTGCTCGTTTGTTTATGTCCTAAACTACTCTGACTTTACAAATTTAAAGGGGGCATTGAATTAATATAAAGTGCTTCGTTTGCTTTTTGTCCCCAAGTAAACACAGATTGTACAACACGCACACATTCAAGTAAAAAATCTTGTTAGTACAATTTATTTTTTTTGTTCAATATTTTATGATCACGTTTTGTTGCATCATAATTATGCGACAACTCTGACGTATTGGCTGTGCGCCCGACTAGTGTTCAAAAGCTTTTTAAAATTTCACTTGCCCACTGTAATAAACCAAACTAAAATAAAATCTTATACGGTGGCTGAGAAGTAAAGAATGATTAAATTATCCAGAATAAAGCCTATAAAGGAGCCCTGAAGGGTTTACAACCGTTTCCCCCGTTTACAACCATTATGTATCTACCACATACGCTAAAGTTTGCAAAGCTTCTTCCGTTTGGTCTTCGTTTACGTCTTCCGTCTGTCTCGAAGCTCCCGCCGCCTTCCACAGGTCAGTCTAAGTACTACAACAAACATCAACATTTCAAGTTTTATCCTCAAAAAAGGACATAGCAACAGATTTACCTTCTTGTAATCCACAAGAAAATGATTCAACCGCAGAAAACGCATATATTTTCCCACTAGACAACACAACATAATTTTCTCTGTCACACAGGCAAAAAAAAAAACAACATACCACCTCTTTGCAAAAGTATATTGTGAGCTACTAAATGTATTTTCATCCATCTATTAGTTTTCACCACTTATCCTCCCTAGGGTAATGGCTAAGTCCTTGGACCCGACCCAGCTGACTTTGAGAGAGAGAGAGTAAAACAACTAATCAGAGCAACTATTTGGGAAGACTTGCTGCCTAAAGAAGAGTGTACAGACCTTTTCAGTTATGTCCAGGTTGGTGGGATTGACAGAGTAAATGTCCTCCTTCAGTTTAAATTGACTGAAATTCGCTCAGATGTTGGTCACGTTGTGAGACAAACTTCTCTCTGAATCATTCTCCCTTCCCTCCCATGGTACAAATGTGTGAAAAATGCAAACAATTCGTCAGACTGACTTGCTTGACACACTTGAACACTGCTTGTCATACACACAGATTAGCTCTGGGTTGCAAACTGCTTTCAAGCGTTGCGAATCAGATTGAGGTGATGTCAATGTGTGGAATCTCAAACAAGAGCTGTCATATGCCAACCTGGGAATTTGCTCCATCATTAATTACTGTTTATCTTTGGGGTCAGGAGGAGAAAACTCATCCACAAATTCTTCATCTTTGATGTTCTAATTTAGAGAGAATGGTCATCGTGCTTTGAATGGATCTGATGACTCTGTGTGAAATGTGTTTTTTTTTCCAGATAACATGTTGCATGCTTGTGTCCAAACGCATCAAGAAAATGTCTAACACACTCACACGCCTGACTTTTTTTTTTTTAATTTGTTGCTCATATTAAACATCCAATTTCACAAGTGTGTTTGAATGAGGCACAGATTTCAAGAATAGGCTCACTGTACATTTGGAACAGAAAGCAACAGGTTACAATTCAAAACGCAAATATTATACACATGCACTTGAAGATACGCCACAAATAAAGTCTCACAAAAACAAATTGAGGAGCCACAACCCAAATAGCGGCAGGCCGAGCCCACTTAGACTTTGTTTCATTTTTTTTACACCATTTAAAATATATTGTTCCAGTGAACAGACATTTTGATTATCAATCCACTCTAATTCATTTCCCTCATCTTGCTCCAATAGTTTCTAAATGTTTTACAAAATACAATACATACAAAGATTGAGGAAAAAAAAAATAAAAACAGAGACTGGACGAAAGTGTGTGTAAACAGCATGTCGGAAACCTGTATGGTTTTAAACTTCAAATGTAGAGTTGAAACTCGTCTTATATGTCTGAAGGAACACATTTAATCATGCATGTATGTTCATACAGTGGTGCCTTGAGATAAGAGTTGAATTAAATCGCCTTTCCCCATTGAAATGAATGGGAATGTCATTAATTCTCTCCAGCCTTTCAAAAAAAATACATTACGAAAGATTGTATTTTATTAAAAACATATTGTAAAACACAATCAACCGGAATTGAACAGTTTGTGCATCATGATTATTAATTTACTGCAATTGTGCAGCGCCCTGTCGTGTGTCTGCGCCTTGGCCACCTGGGGGCAGTATCATACAGACATCAATGAAGATGGTCACAACTCCTCAGTAAGCTGCAGTAATTTGCCTGAGAGAATTGGTATGTAATCGATCACTATCTGCCAACCTTTTGCTTGTTGTGAAGGCAGTTTGACTCATGCCTTGAAATAACTTATGACGAGTCTTACTCATATCTCAAGGCATTGCAGTATTTAGAAAAAAAAAAAACCAAAAACCTTGATTATAATTAGCCGACTGGACAACCAGGCAGTCTGAAGGCATCTGGTACGCTACTGTCAAGCTTACAGATAATTTTGTATATTCCTTTCTTCCAGCACGGGTCGGTGTCTCTGCCTGTCCAAATGGCTGAGTGAAACTCCCTCAGGGCCACCTCAGACACTTCGATAAACCTTTCCGGGACCTGGAAATAGCAAGAGAGAAAGGTGAGTTAAATAATCGTGTTGTTATCCCATCTAGAAACATGAGCGGCTGAACCTTCCCGTGACATTAAAACATCCAAGTTAAAGATCTACCTGGTAGATGTTACTTTTATTGTAGTGCATGTTGAGTATGCGGTAAAGTTCTGTATCCCGGCCCACTCGCAGCTGACTCTCTCTGCCCAAGCGAGGTGCACTATCCCTGCATCACACATACGGACCCAAAATAAGCATTTCAATTCATGTCAGTAGCATCACATTTGAACAGTACACAGTGGAAAAAAAAAGAAAAAAAACTGACCGGGTTAGAGCCTCACGGACAGCCTGCCGAGCAAATCGCTCCATCTGGATATAGAAGAACTCTCTGAAGTTGCTGAACCACTTAATCATCTGGGAGGTCACGCAGCGGTTAAACTGGACAGACAACACATAGAAACACCAGTGGAGGGAAGTGACCAAGTATGATTACTTCCTTACTGTACCTAAAGTTCCTGTAAAGTGAAAATACTTACAGTACGTCTTGTAAATTTGACACACCACAGAGAAGAGTGTTGTTAATAACCTTGCCCAATTTGCAAGTCTTTCCTATGTGGCTTCAAAATCATGAAAGTCACGCCGTTCTCTCCACACTGGGCTTGGGTGTGTCCGCTGAAAACACGCCTGCACTCGACTGTCAATCAAATGCTACTTATATGACCTGGAAAAATGGATGCTAATTTGTCTAGCATCTTTTTTATGCTGACACAGACGTCACGTTTCAGCTGCGAAAATATACGGCGTGAATATACAATATATCCCCTCGACATTGGGCTTTCCATGTCGCGGCAACGAGGCATTCTAAATCAGCCATGCCAGCCTGAAGCCATGTCCACGTGCTGTCTGTGTTGTCAAAAACAAAACAAAACTCACTTCTTTTTTTTTTTTTTACTTCTCTCAGTGTAATGTGTGCACTCAGAGCAGACAATGAGGCACTCTAATGAAGCCACACCATTGGACTACCTGAAGGGATGTAGGCATAGCAAGCTAGCTGAACAATTTTTTTTCTACATAATTGCTGGACTGCAGAGTGCGAGTACCGTTGCCACCTGTGACATGAAAATAACTGCTGCGCGTGCGTGCGCACACACACACACACACACACACACACACACACACACACACACACACACCTTGACATCAGGGAAGTATGTCTTGAGAGTATTGGAGCTGGGATAGCGAGCGTAGAAGAACATGAGTTTGGCTTTCTTCAGGTGGCAAGGAGACAAACCCTCCTGAGTGTATACATGAGGCTAGTTAAGGAGAATTTGCTGGTCAGTTCAGTCTACTTTTGTCCAATTGGATTTCAGCATCCGTGTGTTGCCATGTCAATCTAATCTGCCCACTTGCTTCAGAATCATTCGTGCTGACCTTTGAAAATTCAACTATATAAGCAACGGGACTGTTTCAGATTTCAAATTCCTCCGCACAGGGCCAGAGCGCTGGCTCTCGATCACATCATATATATTTTATATATATTTTTACGCATTGTTATTGATTGAAAACAAATCTATAAACTCTCTCAAAGTGTCGTAAAACTCCGCCTCTTGCATCACTCTGTGGGAGCCATGCAGCATCATGTTGCCTCAAGATTAAAAGTCTGAATAAGTGGACAATAAGTGCAAATAGTCAGGTCAGCTCCATTTGACTAATTCTATTTTGTTGGAAATGGATCGCTGTAATGCTTTGGTGCAGGAGGAACGGGTCAGCCACGAAGGTGAAGTGACTGCGGACTCATTTTGTTTTAACAGATTTTTGTCTGACTTGGGTGTTGTTGGTATGCAACGGTATATGACTGCAATATGAGGTATGATACCAAGTGTTTTCCAACGATACATACAGTACATGACTCACAAAAAGTTAGCGATATTTGGCTTATGGGTGAAATTTCAGGATGAGCCTAAAATGCATTCAAACTTTTACAGGTGAACTTAATGTGACCTTCTCTATTGTGACTACACACGTACAACTGTTAAATGTTTCACTACTTTTTGCAGAAGTTGCTGTACTCTAACGCAGATGATGATTCGCCAATGTGTCAAACTGCCGCATTACAGCGGCAACTGCAGCTGGGGAAATCAGATTTTTTTTTTTTTTTGACATTTTGCTTTAAATATCGTTAGCTGGTATCATCAGCCTCCACACATATCCGATACCTTAGGATAAAGCCAGTATGGGCCCGATACCGTGACCCAGACCATCCCCATTCACTCGCCCATCCCTAGTATAAAAGTATAAAAGACAATCCTACTGAGTTTTTCTATACAAAAGGATATTCCTCCTGAGCTCAGGTAAAGCTCTCCTCCGTCCATCATCCCACCTCCCCTCACTCCCCTCTCTCTGCCGCCGTGAGCGTGGCGCATGAGGGAAGGTCCCAAATGACCGAGTAGGGGCAGCGGGGGAAAGGAAGGGTGTGTGGGGAACTCCAGGAAGGGGTCGGAGTTGAGGAAATCCTTGCGCGACGACGGGGGAAGAGGGGGCATCTGCGGGTGGTGGAGCGAGCGGGAGAAAAGCTGCTGCATGGAGTAGTGGAGCAGCGGGAGGGCCAGAGGAGGGGCGGGGAAGGACGAGGAAGAGGAGGATGAGGAGGAAGATGAGGGCGGATGGGCAGAGGTGGGCTCCTTGGGTTGGGGCACCGGGGCTAAGAGCAGGGGAGGTCGAGGGAGATGCAGCGAAAGGTCGGGGTGACTTGGCAGAGGCGGGCTGAGAAAGGGGCGTGCCTTCGGGAGGTCGGGTGACTTTTGCGCCACCAGTGGCAAGGCCAAATCTGTGGTCTGGGTGCCATGGGGAGGCAGGCTGTTCATGGTTTGAAGCGGTCTTTCTCTGTCTCCATCATTCCCACCTGGCCTCTCCTCGTGACCTCTGAACTCTTCCTCCACTCTCGCCTCTCTGTCTTCCACGCCGGCTTGGGGACAGGACGTGTCGGTGTAGAGCCGAAGGACGCGGTCGATGACTCTTGCCACGGCGCTGCCGAGCTCCAGCTTCAAAGCCTGGGCGAACTTGTGCCCCCCCTCATCGTCCTCATCTTTTATCCCTCCATCCCAGTCCAACCACAGGCCCACTCCCTCCATCGCACCTTCACCTCGTCCTCGCTGCGTCCTCGCGCCGTCTTTTTGCTTCTCTTCCCTTTCCTTGAAGCTATAAAAAGGGGCGATAAGACAGAGGGGCTCGTTTTCCGCAGCACCTCCATCGAGTTCCTCGTCGTCGTCAAACATCCGCTCGGCTATGACCTCATCCTCCGCATCCTTTCCATTTCCATTCCTTTTCCCCTCCTCTTCGTCGGTGTTGCTCTCCCCAAAGGCCCTCAGCACTTTCTCCTGCAGGGCTTGCAGTCTTTCCCTGGCCTCCTCCAGCTGCTCCTTCAGCTCCGCTCTCCTCCTCCTCCTCAGCTCCCTCCCTCCCCCACCACGCCTCGTGCCGCCCTCCTCCAGCTTCATCCTCTTCAACCTCGCCAAGTCCTGACCCCATTGGGGTCCCGCTCGCTTCTTACCCTCGTCGTCAGTCGACAAGCCCTCCTGGCCCTCTGGCTCTTCTCGCTCCACGGCCAGGTGTGCGCTTGGCGGGCCGCGAGGGGTTCTGCAGGACTGGCTGAGGTGCTGCTGGATGAGGGGGAAGCCGAGTGGTCTGAAGGCGGTCGGAGGAGGCCGGCCGCCACCTGGAAGCCCTCCGAGCACTTCTGCCGACAGGAGTTGGGGGGCAAATGGGTGGACTTGCGGGTTGGAATCATCGAAGAGGTCTGAGGGGGAGTCCATCACTGGGGGAAGAGTTTCAGAATGTAAATTAGGATTGTTTGGTTTTTGGGGCGACCTGTTTTTGACTGAAGGTACCTCATGAGAAGACTGTCAAACTTCCTTCTGAGTTTCAAAATTTAGTCTGAGACTGTGAAAATCGTGAGGTGTAAGCCATTCTTGTAAGTCTCAGTGGCTGGTAGCACAGAAACCATCAGTGTGAAACAAGAATCTGCTATAGCAGCACCCAACTGCCACTTTAACCGTCTGGAGTTCACCAGCCACATTTATCTCGTAACATCACAAAATCAGTTTTGGTCACACTGCATCAATTGAATGGCCACGATGCTGCTGTTTTTGGTGTGCCCGCCTTGGCCACCTAGCGGCAGGATAAGACATATGGGGAACTATACTGTTCAGCCGTCTCAACTCCTCTCAGCTCATCAGCACGGCACTAATATTAGTTACTCTTGTCTGAAGATAAAGAATATATGACTGTGAGTATATTGTCTGTCCACCTGTGTCACTGGCTTCCGTTAAAGCACCGCAAAATAGATGCTATCAAGCATTAGCATAAAGACAGCGGATTTAACGGCTAAGCTCTGTGGAAGTTTTAAGTTACACATGGTGGAATTCTTAGCACGTAAACAGCTTGAAGACTCTTTTTGAAGACTATTGACAAATTCGATATCCATGGAACAAAGGTTAGAATTGGAGAATTGGCCCCAAAATGCATAGTGAGGAGAAGAGTCAGGTGGATGTTTAATTGTGACATTTCACTCTTCTCATCATCGCCAAATGTTCCCTCCTTCCTTCCTCTGTACACCTCCCACTCCCTCCTCTCCCTCTTATCAGTTCAGACAGCTTGTTAAGCACTGTTTGATCAGAGTGTTTACCGTGACACACACACACACACACACACACACACACACACACACACACACACACACACACAGGATGATTCACACAGTAGTGGGGCATGAGAGGCTTGTGAGAGGGCTAACAATGGTCAGTGGTCCTTTGGGAGTGAGATGGACTCAGAACACCACGTACGTGTGTATGCGACCCTCTGCTGGGTGAACCATCCTGTGTGTGTGTGTGTGTGTGGGTGTGTGTGTGTGTGTGTGTGTGTGTGTGTGTGTGTGTGTGTGTGTGTGTGTGTGTGTGTGTGTGTGATCAGTATAGTCCGACTTAGCTTTGATAACACCCTTAATCCACTTCAGATGGATACACTCACCGCACACAGAGATGGATGGACGGATGGACGGACGGACGAACGGACGGACGGATGGATGTAGGGATTGATAGTGAGCATTTCGGGTCCCCTGGTGAAACACTAAGAGAATAATCCCCCTATAAATAGCTAAATATCAATTATTCAAATGCCCTCTCTTCCCGGCTATAACACAGCCCAGATGGCAGGCGGGCCAATGCGCTTATATGCGCCGGCCAGATTAGCTTTTTTAAAGCCAGTCGCAAAGCTGGCCAAAATATTAACACTGAGCAATGGACATGAAAGCCATGTTGCTCGAGATTACACTTAAGCGGCGAGTATTATTCACGATGCATGAATGGTAAATTTAAACAGATAGATACAATACACTGTTATGGACAAACAACGGAATTTTACTTTGCTTGATCTGATCTAATCAAATGAGACTTTGCATTCACATTCATCCTTGACTACAATTTTGAATGGAAATCTACTATCATGAAACCAAATAAATAAATAAATAAATAAATAAATGCTCCAAAACCAGCAGGGAGTGAAAGACACACTGTATTTTTGTTTATGCGTGTGTGTGTGTGTGTGTGTGTGTGTGTGTCTGTGCGCGAGCTCCCCCCGACTGATTGGCAGCTGGACAGATGATGTCGCAGTGTGAAATATATCTATTTTTTTACTTGCAGAATGCAAAACTTGCAAAATAAACTAGCAGGAAATAAATCACTTACTGTCAAACAGCAGCGCTCCAACGGGCTCTCACCGAGGCTTTTCGCTCAGGTGTCCGCTGACGTGCGCTCTTCCTCGGTCGACTGTCCTCAGCTGGCACCCGCGATGATGGTGGTGATGGTGGTGGTAGAAAAAAAAAAGGGGGGGAGAAAGGAGGAAGGGAAAGGGGGAGCTCGGACATGTGAGTCCACAGCTCTCTGGCCGTGTTGTTTTGTATTATTCAACCGCCCCCACTAGTGATCCACTTCTTCCCCTCCCTCAGGAAAGCAAATCTGTACCCGGCTGGCACAGTGTGTCATCATGCTCGAATGCTGCTGCTGCTGCTGCTACTGATGTCCACTTGATGACTCTGCCCCGCCCATGTTGGCCTCATCAACGATGTACAAACAGGAAGAGATAGGTAGAGGTGACAATACTTAAGTAGAAGAATGCATACTCGAATCTGGTACTGACTCAACTCTTGTACTTACTTGTCTTAAAAGTCCAAAAAGTTAAAAAAAAATAGCAAGTTTGAAGTTCTTTTTTTTCCCCTCTGGCCCCACTTCATTATCTCTCCCTTCCACTGATTTATGTTGTCATTGCCCTTCACATTAGCGTCTCCTGTTTATTGTCTCCCTCTGCTTCTGTCAGGCAACTCACCGAAAGCCCTCAGTTGTCATGGAACCAAGGCTGGAGAACAAAAGATGGACGCGGCTATGGGTGAGTTTATGGGGCTTTGGAGAGGGTGGGGGGGGGTAGAGAGATGGGGATGTGGATGAGGCTGACATGGAAGCAGGCAGTCAATTAATATTAATAGGAATAATTGGGAGGGGGGGATGCATGCAGAGGGAGGACGGCAGGAGATAACAAGGTCAATGATGGCTGCATCTGATCTAAATAACAAAGGACCGCGCACTGTGAGCGTGTGTGCGTGCGCGCGAGAAATGCAATTGATGGCTAAAACAGTCCCCTAAAAAGGCGCAAATGGCTCACAGAAAAGTACAGCCTGGAGCCTAAAATTGTGCGTCATTTCTCTCAGGTCTCCGATTATGTAAGCTACTCAAACACTATCCCTCTCATCCATCCATGTGCACATGCAGCCACTTTCGTCGGAGCTTATGAATACAGCGTCCAAGAGTGAGAGGTACAGTATAACAACAATTTGAAAAAAAAAAAAAAACAGGGGAGGGGGGGTATAAAAGGATCAATAGATGGCATAAAGTGTATGTGCATTGATTTACTCACAGGGGAGCGCAATGGGGTTGATGGAAACATGGGAGGGGAGCAGGAAATTGCAAGAAAACAGGATTAAGGTCATTTTTCATCCATTATCTAAAAGCAATCCACAACATATGCTTCTGTGGTTGCTACCTGCCTGGACTTTAGACCATTTGCTTTGTCCTACATGCATGATGGATGACACACAAAAACACCACCTTGTTTCTGCAGCTGAGCCCCTCACATTACCTCACATTACTTTCGTGTGGCTAAATAGCACTCGTCGCGCTTATTGACTGGTTGCCTGCATTTATATCCAACCTTACGCATGATGAGAGTCCAATGTCACACATGAGAACGGGCAGCAGAAAAAGCACAAGTACTGGGTCCGAGTTTAATCCGTTCCGTGGCCACGCGCTTACCTCAACATGCGCAAATCATCTTTCCCCATTGAAATGAAGGTAAATGCCTTTAATCTGTTCCATTCTCCCAAAACAATAACAACAACAAAAACACTGTAATGTGTTTTTTTTTTAAACAAAGAAAAATGGCACTGTACAATACTTGACCTTAATAAAAGCATTCAGTAATGGCAGAACTAAATACAATGTAAAGAGTTAGCCAGCCACAATTTTTGCTTCATTTCGATGGACATTAGGCTGTTCCTCTTAGTGTGCACCCCTTGGCCACCTGGGGGCAGGATAATACAAACATGGATACATGGAGAGGGAGACTGATAGAAATTCTCAGTAAGCTGCAGTATTTTTTTTTCAGCACAGCATTCAGAATATATGTCTGAGTATTGTTATGTTGTCAGACTATCTGTGTTGCTGCACTGTTTGTTCATAATTCTATTCTTTTAAGTGGTACACATAGCTGCTACTTGTTACCCTGTCTGTCTTCCTCTGTGTTTTGTGTGTTAGCATTAAGCTAGCGGACTTACAAATGAAGTTTTTTTTTTTTAAACACAATTCTCTTTTGTTGTATGTTTAGTTTGACAGCAAACCTCAACTGAGAGTGTCAATCAACATCTTTTTTCAATTTTTTTTTTTTTTTTTACTATCAACCTGCAACTTGTTGTGCAGTGACTTCACTGCCACCATCATAACAACGCTTAAATCTTTTTTTTTTTCCTGCTCACAATTTAAAGTAAAAATTCGGTTCTCTCCGATCTCAAGACACCGCTGTACTGTGATTGTGTGTGTGAGAGAGACTCGCACAAAACTACACTGAAATAGCTGAGGGCAAGGTGAATGAAAACGAACAGCCACAGACAGAATGTGGTGGATAGTGTGTGTGTGTGTGTGTGTGCGTGTGTGTGTGTGTGTGTGTGTGTGTGTGTGTGTGTGTGTGTGTGTGTTTTGGATGGAGGGGGAAAGAGGAAGCAGCAGAAGGGGCCGGGGGCATTGAACAAAAACAAAAAGCAAAGAGTGTGGCGGGCAACCAAAGGTGTCAGTATTTGGCGCGGTAGCGACCCGGGCATGTAGGTCATAACGGCTGCTCCGCGTGTGACTAAAAACCAAACTAATGTACAGCGCATTGGAAAGTGGGCCTCTCACCATGTGGCTGCGAGTGCGTGTGGTCAAAGGTTGGAGAAGCAGTTTTTACACGGACACACACACACACACACACACAATGAATTAGCTTGCAAAGTTGCACATAACAGCTGCCCTCCCTGTCATACATGCACAGGTAATGCACCATGTATGGCACTAAATTATGCGTGCGCACATACACAAACGCGCACACACGTCCCTCTTTTGATCCCTTGTGATAACACGCGCACACACACGCGTGTGGTGATAAGCTATTATGCTCTCAGGCTGGAGTGTTTTGATGGTATAATTGCAGTGACCAGTGAGGAGAAAAAGGCAGGGATGGAAAGGGGGATGGTGACAGGGAAAAAAAAAAGAGCGTGCTGACACTCTCAGCATGCTAATGTTATTCCTCCGTTTCATCCATCCATCCATCCATCCATCCCTCCCTCCCTCGGTCTCTTTGTCCGTCCACGTTCTCGCTCCACACAGGTGAAGCGGCGCAGAGAGAGAGAGCGAGGTAGAGGGATATGTAACAGGATAGAGCAGCGTTATCGCCCACTTTCATCCCTTCATCCTCTCCATAGTGCTCAAAACAAAGTGCCAGGGAAAAAAAAGATGAATAGAGACCAAGGGGGGTGTTTCACTTTTTCCAACCCTTCCAACAATAAATGGATGATCTCTGCTTACCCTCTAATCGCATCCCTCCTTTCCCCCTCCGTTATCTGCTGCTCCCGTACGAGCGTTCTTTCCTCTGCTTTTGTCAGCTCTCCATCTGTCTGTCCTTCCACTCATCCTTCTCTCTCCAGGAAGGCTGTACTATGCCTCTGATCTGCTCCCGCTGCTACCTCACAAGCCGTCAAAACCCGTTTCTCCCACCCTCCTAACTTCACCTTGCAAATCTCATTACATCTGAAAAGAAGCACTCTGTGACACAATTTCAAACAGTATTTATTATGAAAACAGTGCAAATGACTTCATACACATAGTCAACAAGAAAACATGGGAAAAGGAGTCCGTGTGCCCATTGCGAGTGTTTATATTTTTATACATTTTGGTCCAAATGAGCCAGTGGCCACCTATGCTAGTGTTTTAAAGTGACAGTCCTGAGAATCTGGAGATTCTTATTGCATGTTTATTTTTTTTTCTCCAATGTTTGGTCCTTACGGGTCCTGCGCATGTGTGGGCGAGGTGCGTCCTTCCAGCAGCTTCTCCGCGTGTTCCAGATACTGAGCAATCCTTCGGACGACAGCCTCCTTTCGCGCTGGATCTGGATCGTCTGAAAACAAGAATTCACAGTTGAGAGAATCTCAAATCAGGTTTGACATCAAGGCAAGACAAGGCCACTTTATTTAAATAGGAGCACATTTCACACATGAGGCCACTCAACGTGCTTCACGCAACACCTAAAAGACATGATGAGGTTCAAACACATTTACCAACAAAACTTTTAAAACAAAGACATTTAAAAGCCAGGGGAAGAGATTAACTAAAATATCATAGACATCATAGAGTGAATTTTGAAAATGCTTGAAAGGCCTTAATCAAAGGTATGAGAAAAGTGCATTGTTTTTAATCTGAATTTAGAAATCATTTAAACTTGAGGTTGACATCGCTTACGTTGGCAACTTGTTCCGTTTGTGTGCGGCATAACAGCTAAATGTAGCTTCACCATGTTTGCTTTGAAACCTGGGCTCCACTAAATGACCCGTGTCTGCAGACCTCAGAGCCCTACTCGGTTTATAGTCAATGAGCGTTTCCTTCAAGTAACAAAAATCCAAACCATTCAATGATTTATAGCGCAGTAGCAGAATTCTAAAATCTATTTGAAAGGCGACTGGGAGCCAGTTTGAAGCCTAAAATGGTGAGGGTGGTCGTCACAGTCTATTTCAAAAGGCTAAACCCAGTGGGGTTTCCCCACAAAGGCCACCAAAGATAAACCATGACAACATGAGACTACACGCTTCATTCTGTTCGTCTGTGAAATTAATTTGCAGAACAGAACCAACTCTAAATCCATTTAGTGGAAAACAAAAAGCGGAACCTTGGGGTCAGCCAAGTTCAAATATGGTCAGACATTGCTGTGAAATGGGCTGCAGCGCTTTCTTGAGTCAAGCTTCTGACTGAACCGCTTAATTTACTCCTTGGTTGCAGTACAGCGTTTCTACCAATAGAGGGTGCTAATAGACAATGACATCTTCATCGGGAGCATGACTTATATTTAGTAAAACATTGATATGACATTCAGTCAACTGTCAGCGCCATGTTTAATTTAACCTATTGGGTGTCGGCCAATTTAGAGCATTAATTTTGTTTTTCATGTAAACAAAGAAACTACCAAATGAAAAATTGGACTCTATTCTTTAATCACAAAAAAGTTTAGTTTCTACCTTACTCCATTTTTTTTTTTAGTACGCGGCAGTAGGAAAAGGGTTGGTTCACCCAAATCACCCATTTTGGAAGCAAAAGAAATGTTTGATCAACAGTAACTTTGATGCTAAAAAAATTTATTTTGCTTTGGTGATGTCTCAAAAATCTGAACAGTCCTTTTGTTCTATAAAATACTTCTATAAAAATACAAACAGTGAAAATGTGCTGTTGATGGCACAATATTATATCAATAATTTACAAATATTCACCAGTGTAACGTTTTAAATTGAACAAACTTTAAGAACTATTTGCATGCTCTTTAGTAGTAGTAATATTTAGTAGCTTGTGCATTCATCGTGCCATGCATATGTGTACAATACACCATCGCTTCTACTTCTAAATTTAAATAATGTCGGTCTTTCTTTCTTGTGTGACATTCTTTGTTGTCACTTTAATGTGACAAACACTTTATAACAGTCAAATTTCTAGAGGTCCAGCAGAAGAAGAGACCAAAAGCTGCGCGTGCTGACATTTTTTTTTGGGCGGGGAGACGGACTTCTGAGGGGGATTCATGGAAACTGAACAAAGGAAGCTCCAGAACCGTGATTCAACCCCCAATCTACAACTATAAGACAAGACATTCTGTTCTCTCACCCTTCACTCCAGTCATGAGTATGTCTACCACAGTCCTGTATCCAGAAAGGGCAGCGCTCGCATCTCCCTCCGCCTCCCTCGAAATGGCACACGTCAGCTCAGCGCTAGCTCGGTTCAAATACGTCGCCTCGTCTGCCAGGTTGCTTATCGGCAACAAAAATAACTCGGAATGGTCACTGCGAGGTTTGCATCTGTCTGCAACGGATGTAGAAGTGAGTGAGGAGAAAGAATCAGTGTTAAGTCACTGCCAGATTTTTCTCATTTCAATTTTAGGCTTGTTGCGTGTTCACCTTGTTTATAACAGGGATCAAAGACAGCCAGGTCATTGTCAGACAGCACCGGACATACATCCGCATTTGGTGGCAAGGTGCACCCTTCCGCCACTGTGTCAGAAAGTGACTCTACCTCCTCCTGAGAGAGTTGTGATGTGTGCGTTCTGGCTGGAGAAGTCACTACAGGTGACAGAGAAGATTTTATTAACAACTGTTAACCTTCCCACATGTTGTACAGTGAAAACCCATTTATTGTGGGGGGGCATATTAGCAATGCTATTACAGTATTTCTAAACAACTGCTGCTTTAACACATGGAGCATCAACACATACAAACAATACTCACCACAGTGGACTGTAAAACCCATTTAAAAAAAGGAGCTGAAAAGTCTGCAATATCGCGGTGGCACAGAAGATGAACCGTACCTCTGTCATCCAGCTCGGCATCCACACAGATGTCTCCTCCCGCTTCACTCATCTCGGTGTAGGCCTCGGTCGCCAATTCTGGCTTTCCCACGTCAATCCCCAGGTTGGTGCCCAGGTCCTGGGGCAAAGGGGGCGCCTCCCTGCCCGCCTCCTCCTCTGCCGGCTCGCAGTCTGAGGCTCTCCGCTTGGGGAGGGGGATGAGAGGAGGAGGTAAGTCAGGGAAGGGCTCATGTGGTCTCGTGACATCTCCATCCTGAGGAGCACAAAATAGAGGCCGTGTTTGTCATGCGCTCATCGTCTACCCTTAACAAATAAGACAAAATTTAAACGTCGTTTTGTTCCTTTACTCCAGCTGTTACTGGAAACAATGAGCTTGCTGGAAAACCAAAAAAGTTTTTATTTTGTTGTCACATCCCTACTTTGTTTGTGTACACTGACCCTGAAGAAGTCTCGGAGCTGTGGGCTGTTGTAGAGTGCAGGTATGCTCATAGAGAACACGAGCATGTCTTCCGCAGCCTTCCTCCTCTCCTCAATCACAGCCTCATCGAACCTTCCTAGAAACACAAATGCAGGTTTAATTGGTGGTGACGAACTGTAATTAGCAATGACAGAAGCGCAGTTAATATAACAATGATGGAGTGATGGACTGATGACACATTTGGTCAACTTGAAATAATAATGTACTGATGATGTAATGACGGACTGATGAAGAACGGGTTGCGCGGCCGCTGACCAATGAGGAGTCATGCACCGGCAAAGTTTACTGCTGTGCCCACCTCTGCCAAAGATTTGCGCTGGTGGAAACGGCGGGAATTCCTCGTCTCTTCGGAACAGGTTCTTGTGAGTGTTGGCCAGCTCGGTGTGAAGCTTCTTCAGCTCAGAGTATCTCGTCCACACGACCACCTCCTTCACATCCTCCGGGCAAGGCTTGGGCACAAACTAGATGGTAAAAGAACCAAATTCATGTTGAGTATGAACATGTATTTGCTACATTTGAGTGCGGGTGAGCAAGTCAGGAGGTTGGATTTGCCAAACAAGATCAAGGCCACCGTCACGAATGTTAAGCTATGAACAAATAATAATTCCCTTTGTGTCCAAAGGAATTTCCAAAGCACTTCTCATTAATTAATCACAAGTTCTCTACACTAAAGTGACTATGTGCCACACTTTGCACGTAAGAACAAAACTTGACTCACTCGTAAAAATGACTTTGCATCGAAATCAGGAAGTAATAAAATCATTAAAGTCTTGGTGTAAACAGGTAATATGGCACCATCGTGAGTGATTACAAAGTAGTTTTTGCAGAACGTAACTGACCCGTCCAATAACTTTGTACTCCGTGTGTCCTTTCTCGTGCGTGCGTACGTCAGTGACGCTAAAGAACCGGTAAAATTCTTCTTTCCGTGACATGTTCGATCTTGTCGAGAAACAAAATCAAAACAACACGTTCGGACAGAGAGCACCAGTTCCCCCTTCGCCCCACGACTGACTTCCGGGTTTCGCTTACGTAAAAGCGTGCGCGATGACGTAGGAAGTTAAAATCGAGGCAATATTTTTAGTACAGTATTCTCCTTTTGGTTATAGATTACATTGTTATTTTCCTTTATATAATCCATGTACAGCACTTTATATATTTGATTGATCGATTAGTGATACGTGCAATCATATTAAAAATCTAATTTCCATAGTGTTAATATAGTAAACCACAAAACCACTTGTTTTCGCTCGAGCTAAAAAGGGACGGTCGTCCGGCGTAACAAAGACCACCTAGGGGGCGCTCAAAACAATAATATAACGGCTTGAAGTCAAACCATTGTGCTTGTCAGACTTTCATCCAACTAATACTGAAGTATTTATTTTCACGTTTCTTTCAGAAACAGTCCCTTACAAGCTCCGTTTTTTCAAAACAAACGGGAAAAAAGAACGTTTGGGGCCTCATCCTGTTTTAGACAACAGAACAAAGAGAGCAACAACAAACATACTGGGAAGTCCACATATATCTCGATGCATGTTTTCCGCTCCCAAACCCGCATTGATTGTTGATAAAACAGAATACACAATTATAAAAGCGGAACAACGATTTTGATTTATTTTGTGACGCTGAAAATAAAATAGCAGAGGATGGTTTCGATCCATCGACCTCTGGGTTATGGGCCCAGCACGCTTCCGCTGCGCCACTCTGCTTTGACGTATGCGATGTCTTAAATATATTTAATATAAATGCAGTACGTGTTAGAACCCGTGCAAAATGAGTTGGTTATCAGTGAAAGGCCATAAAGCAATAACATGACATCACAACCCTTTGACTTTCTTTGTTTTATGCCATAAAAGTCCTCAACGGATGTCTTAATCTGTGGACAGTGTATTCTGCTATTGGAATTCAGGCCACGTTGGAAGAAAAGTTCAACTGTGCTCCAGTGTGATCGGTAACAATTACTTGAATACACAGCCCCTCAAATGGGAGGCCAGTCTAAACCGGTTTTGTGTGTGCGTGTGTGTGTGTGAGAACGTTCGCCTTGTGCAGGCAAAATAAACTCCCTCAGGGGGATCAGACAGGAATTTCGAGCGAGGCCCTGCATGTGGGCGCTCACGTGCATCCGCCTGGTCCTTCAGATTCACTTCGTACGCACCCACACATCTGAAATAACCTTTTAAAGGCTTATTCTTGCCGTTGTTATTGTCATGAAATTGATTTTTGCAAGCTTTATGCTGAAAAATATTTTTCCTTCATTCACCTAGTTCGCAAATTCCAAAACATATTGATTCGCCCCCTGCCCTTCCACTCTTTCCTTGAGCGCCACCTCGTCTCCTGGTTGATCTGTTCTCTTCCTGATATCTTTTATCGCCCTACAAAGATGCTGAGAATTGTGAAAAAAAAAAGTAGTTTTCGGCAGGGCGGCTTATGTGTACTCGGTCAACATCTCTGTTACAGAAACTCAGCCAGGCGCACACAAACACGGGTGCTAGTTAAAAACAGCAACAGGTGGCACGTGTATTTGGCTTCTCCTGTCATGTCCAAGTCACATGTGTTTGATTTTTTTTTTTTAATGACATCAGTACACATCATGTTCCTGATGACTGAATTAAAGCTTAAAGATCACTACTCCCTAGGGTTTGGTGATGAACATCGATGAATTGGTTTCATGTGAAGACATATTCCAATGCATAGGCACAGAAAAAAAGGAGTTAATATCCATTTCACCATTACACTGTAGTAAAATTGTAGTTGATGTAAATAGCAGGAGTCTGTAGAGAGGATTTTCCAATTTGCCAGGGCAATGAATAAGAAGACGGTGGGTGAGTATCGTCACCATCGTGGTTAGCAGAATTAGCTTTGGCTATTCCGAGCGCCATTAGCTTAAAGATTCATAGCGGCGGTACCTTCGAACTGGCAACATGAAGTAGCCAAAATGTTATGTCTAATAATGCACAGACAACCGTGTGCTAACAAGAACTTTATTTGTCATAGGTGGTGTTTAATCATCGAGACAAAGTAGTAAAGTATATTTGTCGACTAATCGGTTGAACCCCAGTCAACTTACAAACCGATACTGCAATGAAACCAGAAGCCCCAAACACGTTATATGTCCACTACAAAATAAGATAAAAACCTTCGAAAAAATACACAGATTAAAGACATTCTCTGGCCTTAATTCTGGCCATCTGTGTTTTGAGTTTAATACGTCTATACGCCCCCCGTCGAGTTCAATGCCAAGAATACACGACAGCGGTACATCACATGTCATTTCTATTGGACCTTTTCCCAGAACTACACTTGGGTCAATGTTAATCATTTCAATGTCATTACTTGCATATTGTTCACTCTGCGGTGCTTTTCAAACTTCAACCGGTGATCCAATCAAACAGTTGAATGAAAGTGATTATATTTGGATTGACTTCGTCACAAGTTCAATTGAAACGTTTGATTGCGTCACAAGTTGTTGACCAAGCTCTTAACAGTGTTTGCTTTAGTACGAGCGCGAATCCTTCCGACGAAACCAGTTTTTCCGGCTTTTCTCAAACCGGATCAACGGACACGCAGGACAAACTAGTACGTAGTAGCAACTACTGATACAGCGTATCCGTTTTAAATGAAATTGTGCTAATCTGCTCGAAATAATTTTTATAGGGCGTCGTGTGTACTTGTTTTCTAGGAAGAGCGAGTCGCCACCCACAGAAACGACGGGAGGAGGGCTCGCTCGCGTCTTTCTAGGGCAGCTACATAAACACACTGAGCTTCTTACCTCATCAGATTACAAACTGCCTGGAAAGGATCGGCAAAGTACAGCTACGGGTTCATCATTTACACAACGCAGGTAAATACAATCATTTTATTACCAGTTTTTACCAACACTTTCCTATAAACGAACACGTGTCTTGATGACGTGTCAGTTGCGTCATTCTTTGTTAACGTGTTAAAAGTAGGGGGACATTTTATTTATCGGGAAAAACTGCCCCCTCAATGAGTAATCGGGCTGTCCATTCGACGCAATTGTTACAAACATTTTAATATATATATTTTTTTATTCAACCATTGGCTGGTTTGCACGCTAGCTAGCAACTTGGCCTCGTGCAACGTTCACAAACAATTACATCAGACAATTACTAATTGTCTGCGACGCACAGGTTAAAACAGATTTATTATCGAAAAGGAGCCTCTAAGTAGGAAAGTAGAGAGCATTGAAGCTGTAGCGTCTTAAAAAAAGCGACAACAAATTCACAAAAGGCCATGAAATTGGATTATTTTTTGAATGACTCAAACGCTATACTGGCTCTAAAAGCCATCGGATTTTTAGAATTTGAAAAACTTTTGCTCTAAACGCTGTTAAAGTAACATTTTATAACATCTTAATACTTGGTCCAAAGGCCATTATAGAGGATTTTAAACATTTCTATTATCCACTGATATTTCATCTCTGGTTCCATCCAAAGTCAAGTTTTGTCCAATATGACCCCTGAAGTTAAAGCAAAGTCATTTTGCCTTAACAACATCCACTCTGTGAATGTTTTCCCTCAGCACTGTACAATAAAGATGAACTCTGACGTAGACATGAAGGATGTGGAGCTCAGTGAGCTGGACACTGAGAAGCAGCCCATAGCAGCCGATGGGCAGGCGGGCAGCAGTGAGAAAAATGGCAGCGTCAAGGTGAAGATTCCTGAGGATGAAGTGGCTTTCACAGGCCTGTCCAAAGAAGAACTCATGAAGGTGGCTGGCACTCCAGGGTAAGAGTCTCAACTCAACTGTATTTCTTGAGCACTTTAAAACAGCCATCGCTGTATACAAAGTGCTGTACATGGAGCAAATATCATATACACAACAATAAAACAAGAAATTAAGAAATGAAGACAGTGGAAACCACAAATCAGTAAAACTAAGATCAACTCTCTGTCATGCCGAGTCAAATGCCAAAGAATACAAATGAGTTTTGAGATTTAAAGATGGGCAGCGAGGAGGCTTGCCGAATGTTCAGTGGGAGGTCATTCCAAAGAGAGGGACCAGCAACGGAAAAGGCTCGATCCCCTCTGAGTGTTCATAGTCTAAACAGCCGGGGGTACGTTACAGACCCACACATAATCGGCGAAAGTTCATCAGATAGACGTTTTTTATTAAAACGCATTTCTTAAAGTATTACAAAGTGTTCTTGCTTCAAGCTGTTTACTTATACTGGTAACTCCCTGTTTAAAGTTTACTATCAAACTGATATGTCAAACAAAAGAGAATTCAACATTGCATATTTCAACAGCAAAATGTTAATCTAGTCAGTTCACGCTGCACCCTTGACGTTTCCTTTTTTTTTTTTTTTTTTAGATGGGTGAGGACTCGCTGGGTGCTGCTGATCCTCTTCTGGCTGGGCTGGTTGGGCATGCTGGCCGGAGCCATCGCCATCATCGTCCAGGCACCGCGTTGCAAACCCATCCCAGAAATGAGGTGGTGGAACCACGGACCCCTTTACCAGATCTCCGACGCCGAGGCTTTCTCTGAAGGATTGGCAGGTGCTGTATATTTTGCGTTGTGACTCAACATTAAGATTGCGAGGCACCACATTGACCCTAGATAACTTCCTCAAAATAGCTAAAGACCGCACGTGTCCTGGGAGAAGGCTCCAGTTGTCACAGGCTGGCTTCATACTAAATTGCTGACACATGCGGTGTCTAAAGGTCTCACAGACACTAAAACGCCTGAGTCATTTCTTTAGTATCATGAGCTCTGATATCAGCTGAAGGTTAAGCAACTCGGGCGTTTTTTTATGCGTGGCTAGCAGCTATTCGGTTAGACTTCTGCTATTTTACAGCTTTAGCTCGGCTCAGCACTTTGATTTCCACCCTTGGGTCCTCCTTTCAGAGGTGGGGGACTTTTATTATGTTGCTGGAGGGAGGCCCGGCCGTTCCGACCGATCTTTGGCAGGAGTCCAAGCACCACCCCGCATGTGACTTGTTCTTTTTATTATGTTGCTGGAGGGAGGCCCGGCCGTTCCCGACTGATCTTTGGCAAGAGTCCAAGCACCACCCCGCATGTGACTTGTTCCCCCATGAAAGATCTTTTTGTGCTCACGTGGTCGCCAGACGGCAAGGCGGAATTGTTCACATCTTTCCGCCTCGTGTCAACACAAGTGACCTTCTTAACGTGCCAACATTCCCTCTCCTCTTCTGCTCGTGCAGGTATTGAGAAAAAGCTGGACAACGTCAATCAGCTGAAGGTGAAAGGTTTGGTTCTCGGCCCTCTTCACACCGTGCAGACCGACCAGCCGAGCACTCTCGACCTGAAACGGATCGACCCGACTCAGGGAAGTGAGAAAGACCTGATCACTGTGCTGGAAAAGGCCCACAAGAAAGGTGGGTGCTCAGCCATGTTTCATGTGCTGATTAACAATCGGGTCAAACGTCGCTCGTCACAACTGTGGAGCACCACAAGGAATCGACATCCCATTTTAAAATGATTCAAATTGGCTTTAGTCATAGTTTCAAAGGTACCAAAATGGATAATCCCAAACTGCTTTAAAATCCTTTTTGCAAAATCAAATTTTACAATCTATCTACAAAAAAACAAAACAAAAATAAGACATTCTTCCCTGACACAACTTGCCCATTTCCGATTTATCAGGGCTTTGGCGCCTTTTTCTTACACCTTGGGTTGTGACCGAAAAAGACCCCAAAAAACATGACGGCTGATATTTGAATCAAATACAGTATTGTTGTTCAGTCAGAACACTTGTTAAACACAGAAAATAATCCTATTTCATTTACGGAGGGGGTAGACGTGTTGCTTCTGTTGTGTTGTACATGACAAGGTGGTAAAGTGGTATCAGGTCTCGAACCAGGGTTGGAATAGTTTTGGATTTTTCAATGTAGTTGGTTTTCATTTCGCTTTTCAGCTCAGTTTTAATGAGTTTTTAGAGCAGGTTTGTTAGTTTTAATCAGTTTGTATTAAAAAAATGCTTAATAGTAGTTTCGTCTTTGTTCGTTTTAGTATTAGTTTTATTTTTTAATGCATGGAGTATTTCTCAAGTGCAAGATGAACAAAAAAGGGTCTTTATTTCTTGTGTCTTAAAGCCAATGACAACTCTCAAACCGACCTTCCTTCTTCTGTACCGACGTACAGCAATACCAAAATAAATTACTTCAAAATTATTGTCGCAGATGAAATCAAATGCCATTTTTGCAAGTTACAGTTTTAGTGACTTTTACTGATATAAGTTGTAGTTTCAGTACCTTTGGTTTTCATTTGTTTTTTTCCAATTGTAATTTGTTTTTTTGTCAATTTTTATTGACGCTAATCTTGATCGGCACCGGTGTCGTTAGGGAAGCGTCGCTAATTTCATGTGAATTTGAGAGCGCTCCTTCTGATTTTAGGTATTTCTGTGGTGCTTGACTTGACTCCAAACTACCGGGGAGCCTCCCCGTGGTTCAGCAGCAGCGACCTCAACGACGTGATGGACAGCGTCCAGGTAGAACCCACTCACGGCTACGCAGTCCACACAAACAAACTCCTCTTGGTATTTCACGGCAGCTTAACGTCTCCCACGTCTTGCCTTGCAGATGGCGGCGGAGCACTGGCTCAATCTGGGCGTCGATGGCATCAAGGTCTCCGACCTCGCCACGGTCTCCAACTCTTCTGACTTATCTCGTTTGCTGGCCGTGGTTAAGGGCAATGACACCGAGGACGACGCCAACAAAAAGTAACAGCGCTTTGCCGCAAAGTAAACGGTTTGAGTAGGCGTTTTAGATTTACTTTTGAATACGCAGGAAGATGGGATTTGAGATGATTTCCAGGGCATATGAGAAAGTTTACGTTTGGCAGGTAGACGCTGTGGCGCAGCGTGGAATGAAAAACATTCCAGCGTTGTAGGGGAGGGTTACCGAGAGACAGACTGGGTTCAGCCAGCGGCTTCAAAGTGAGCCCTTGTTTACCCCGCTGGAGAGGGATTTTTACACAATGGCCTAAAAAGTCGGCTGGTTCTTAAATTTATTACATCGAGTACACCAAAAAAAATATGAATAACTTAATTGCAAACTCGTAGTGATGACCAACAGCCTTTTTTGTCTTGGCTGAACTGGATCTCATTTTTCCAGGATGCTAATGGGCGTGGCCAAAGGCGTCTCACCCGTCGAGATCTCCCGGCTGCTCAACACCTCCGGTGCTGATCTGGTGCTGTCGGACCTGCTTAGCGCCAAAGGTCAAGGTAGGTCGTGAACGCTGCACGCTCGCCACCTCCGTCCACTTTTTGCAATTGACAGCCAATTGTTCACGAAAAAGGTGCGGAGCGTATCAAGATGCTGAACGACCTGCACTCCGAGCAAAGAAGTCTGGCCTGGGGTCTGGGCGCCGCCCAGCGGGAACAACTATCCAAACGGGCCGCGTCTCGGGCGCTGATCCGCCTCTACCAGCTGCTACTCTTCACCATGCCCGGAACGCCGGTCTTCAGCTACGGTGATGAGATTGGCCTTCAGATACAGGTACGGCCATTTGAAGATTTGCTTTTTGCTTTGTTTTTTTGGGGGATGTTCCAGACTTGCTCATAATAGATAAAAATCCGTGCTATGGAGCAGTGTTTGCCAAGCTTCATCGAAACAAGTTACATATTTTGCATAGGAAAAACATCACAGCATACTAACAAACAAAACAAATTAAATCCTGCCAAGGATTATGTAATGTTACCTTCTGCCATCTAGTGGAAGAGCTTTGAATTGTTTTGCAAGTGATTAAAAAATAATGTTGCCCCATGAATGGACCCAGGTTGATAATCACTGCTGTAGAGAGACCAAATCATTATTTTTTTTCACCTTTGCTAAATACTTTAAGCACTTTTTAACCTCTTAAAACAGACTTTCTTAAATTAGTTCTGGGCTGCTTGTCACACCCAGTCAAAGTTGACTGTTCCACTGATGTGAAATAAAATCAGCCCTTCTATGTTTAAACATGAAAATGTTCTACATGACCCGCTTTCGTCCCACAAAATTGCTAGCTTAGGGCTAACATAATGCGAAACACCATACAGGGGCTAATGGAAATTAGCATTGCTTTTTATGGTAATATAAGCAAGCAACTGCTACTACACGGAGCAACAACAAATGCTGCGGCACAACGTGGTGCTACAATGAAGGCGCACAATTTTAAATTTTGACTTTTCAAAAAAAGAAAAACGAATGAAAGGAAAAGTCCTTGTCAGTGAACGTTCACAAGTACTATTTCAAACCTGCAAAGTAGCACAGGCATGAGTTACCTGTGATATAATGTGGAACACTCTCAGTGTAACGATGTGTTTGTACCCCTATCAGGGTGAAAAACCTCCCAAAATGGTTTGGGACCTCGAGAAAGACACTAAGGCTGAAGGAGCCAACGTCAATGAGACGACAGAGGTCAGCGCTCAAAGAAGCTGAGTGTTTCTAAGTTTGGACGTTTTGAGTTTTCACACCTGCCCCATTTTGCCCCCGTGCAGGCCGAGCGCGAGGAATACGTCGCCGTGAGGACGTGGTTCAGATCCCTCAGTGACCTGCGAGGCAAAGAGCGCTCCCTCCTCCACGGCGACTACTACCCTCTCCAGTCCTCCACGTCCTCACTCGCATTCCTGCGCTTGTGGGACCAGAGCGAAAGATTTGTCACGGCGGTCAACTGGGGCGAAGCCTCAGAGACGCTCCGGCTCACGCTGGCGTCGACAGGCAAGTTCAGCCACGCTAGACTGTTTTTGATTTATTTGCTCCCCCTGTGTTTTTCTCCTTGGCGTGTGTACACTCACCGTCAACAACGGGGCGCTCGCTTAGTTGGGCGCTACAGTGGAGGATTTAACGCCACAATTGCGTACTACCGTAATTTCCGTAATGAATGTAGTCTCCGGGTTTGCTGGTATGCTTTATGATCAACGTGAGTTGATAGTTTCAAAACATACCAATAATGTGTAAATGCTTTTAAATTCAGGTTATAAACCCTGCTTTTCACACTTTTTTTTTACTTGCCTTTTTATTGCCTTTAACTCTTTTGTTTGTAACTGCTTTTACCTGTTGCACTTTTTTATGATGTGAAGCACATGGAGTTCACTTGACTGAAAAAATAAATTTAGTATAACATACATAGATAATTAACAGAAATTTCACAGCGTCCCTACATGAAATTGCAAGGACAAACAATTCTTATTAGGTTAAGATGACTCTCAATCTGCACAATTGCTAACAACATGGCGTTATGTCCGCATAATAAGATGTTGCCGATGCTAGCAAGCTAATGTGGCTAACTGCTCCACAACCGCATGGACCATTGTAACTACAGGATACCAGCACAGATTATGTTAGTTCCCTTTTCGTTATTAGCACAGCGCTGAGGAGTCATAAATGAGTTAAGTAAGAAGGAATTATAAGGCAATTAAGATGACATTTAGCTGGTTTGCTGCGACCCGAAACATAAAGCAGAAAAAATGAGACAACATCCGTCCGTCTTTGCGCATATTCTAGAATTATTATCGACAATCATCATTGAAATGTTTAATGCATTTCAAACAAATCTCTGAATTCACTTTACGACAATTATTTTTTTTTTTACCCCTACAGAAGGAATCGAGTTACCAAAAACTGCTACGGTCAAGTTGTCCACGGATCCAGAAATGGAGGCAGACTCCACAGTCGACTTGGACAAAATCACTCTGGGCCCTGGACAAGGTGTCCTCCTGCATTTCCCCTACACGGGCTGAAGATGGCGCTCAGTTGCAAGAAAGTCACCATTAGATTCAATCCGTTGTTTTACAAAGAAGGTGGCTTGTTTGAAAGATTCACAGCATTTGTCTGGACAGGTTTCACACAACTAAATTTGATGAATGAATTATTCAATTATTGCGCATTGGCCAGTCCCACTTGCATTTCTTCAAAAGCTGGCTACGTTTCAGACATGCACTCAGTGAAAATGCAGATTGTTTACAAAAGTTTAACATTCCGTTATTGTTGTTTGGCTATTTCTCTGTGAGCTGTTTGGATTATTTTTTTAAAGCAATTTTTAGTCATTTTGTTGTTTGGATATCAGATTGAAAGTTTTAGCCTGCGAATCATGTATGTTGTTTTCACACTAAAGAGTTCCTGAAGAAATGTCCGCAAACGGAAAGGAATAAACCGAAAGTTCTGTACTGACTTGCGTCTACCTATCGTGTGTGACAAACTGAATGCACCACATGTTTATGCATTGCTTTGTGGCAGATCACCTTTCAAAAGTACACAAACAAATGTGTTCAACAGTAAATTCAGTATTTGTGTTCAACTTCACAGCATCTTCTCAAATGTCAGAACATTTGGAGGGAACTGTTAATTCAGAGCCGCTGTGGTGTCGAAAGGGGAACTTTGTAGGTTACAAATGAATCAAACCCGACTCGTCGCCTTGGCCGCCTCCGTGCACACCCGAGACCGACTCTCATTCTGACTCGCACCTTAATCTGACAATTTGAGTAAAATTATTTTTTTAATCAGAAGATGATGATGAATTATCACCTAGTTCGTTTGGTGGCAGTAAATGTTTTAACCTCATACTTGGTCTGACTATTCTTGCAGAGGAGGAACACACCTTGTCTGTCTGTCATCACCTAGTTAGTTCGGTGTGGCAGTAAATGTTTTAAACTCATACTTGGTCTGACTTTTCTTGCAGAGGAGGAACACAACTTGTCTGTCTGCTTTTTTTTTTTTTTTAGAATTTTAAAGTAAATTTGGTACATTTTTTGGTACTTTACGTCGCATACTTGTGCCCAACAAGAACCAAACAACTTTGCTTTCGGGAATACCCATGCTACTGTACCTTAATGCTAACACAAACACACTATATATTCTTTACTCTGTTTAATTCTTTACATTTATTATGTTACCACTCTGTTTTTATAAAATACAAAATTAAAGAGTGCCATAATGTTGCTAGAAAAAAAAATTTAACAATAACATGGTGAGCTTTGTAGAGGCAATGGAATGGATTCCTCTAATTTTTCTACTAGTAAATGGGAAAAATTACTTCGTTTGTGAATCATACTTGGTCTGACTATTCTTGCAGAGGAGGAACACACCTTGTCTGTCTGTCATCACCTAGTTAGTTCGGTGTGGCAGTAAATGTTTTAAACTCATACTTGGTCTGACTTTTCTTGCAGAGGAGGAACACAACTTGTCTGTCTGCTTTTTTTTTTTTTTTGAGAATTTAAAAGTAAATTTGGTACATTTTTTGGTACTTTACGTCGCATACTTGTGCCCAACAAGAACCAAACAACTTTGCTTTCGGGAATACCCATGCTACTGTACCTTAATGCTAACACAAACACACTATATATTCTTTACTCTGTTTAATTCTTTACATTTATTATGTTACCACTCTGTTTTTATAAAATACAAAATTAAAGAGTGCCATAATGTTGCTAGAAAAAAAAATTTAACAATAACATGGTGAGCTTTGTAGAGGCAATGGAATGGATTCCTCTAATTTTTCTACTAGTAAATGGGAAAAATTACTTCGTTTGTGAATGGCTTTAGTTGGAAACCATTCAGTGGATGCGATTACATTCAAATGTCAGTGTACAAAATAAAAACTATCAATTTGTTTAGTTACGTGAATTTTGTCTCTATTTGTATCTCAATGTCAGCTTAAAAGCTAATTCCACATGCAATACAAGAGTGATTTTTAAATTCTAATTACCGCTTCTACACCAGCTTGCTCGAAAGGTAGGCAATATAAGATGCACATGAATACATCTACGTTTCGTCGTCTATGTAGATTTTTTTGGGTGTCTGCAAATCATTGAGTGTATTCAGGCCGTGTTAATCACTTGAATGTAATGTTTCACGGCATTTAACGATTCGTTTTTTGCTACCTGCTACGTGATTGCTAGCACATTAGCATTTAGCAGGCCTTGTTCTCCATGTGACTTTCCACGTTTCAGCCACACACTTATGCTTGACTTAATTACAATAAATTAGGGAGATAGAGTGAAGAAAAAAAAGACGATCTACATGTTTATCAGTCGTTGGTTATTTTATTTTTCAGGTGTTTACTGACGTATACGCATGTCCAGCAGGTGGTGCTGTTTCACCCGTTGACTTTTCATTAAAACTCGTTCAGAGGTAAGGTGGCCTCCCAATCCGGTTATTATTCGTTCTTTCCATATTCAAGTGGCAGTTGCTTAATGAGATCAATTCATTACTCGCGGTGCCAGATGAGTGCAGGTGACAACAGCCAGTAACAGAAAAGAAGAAAGCAAAGCACAGTTGGTGTGAAAAAGTGGTAAAGGAAGACAACGAGATGGAAAGAACGGGGTGGGGTGGGTGGGGGGGGGGCATGTCGAGTTAAACATAGCCTAAAAGAGGGAGATCATCAGTGTTTGTTTCCTCAGGATGTGGTTACCACGACGACGAAAAGGCAAAGCGGCAACATCACTACACCGCGAGTCGCTTCTGACACCTGTCTCAAGTGTTAAGTGTGTTTGTGTGAAAGAGACAGCAATGAGTGCGGTTTACTGTGTATACGGCAGCTGCGCCTGCGTGCGCCTTTTGTCTTAATTCTGCGTGACACTGCGTTTGTACTCATCATTTTGGGCGTGTGCAAACTTTCAGGTGACGCACAAAAAAGAGGCCGCTTGCGCAGAGAAGATAATCTCGACATAGGCCGTCAAAGACAAGACAGCAGAGAATGAGGACAACCTGCACAACACATGAGCGCCGAAAACTGGTAAAAACCCAAACGACCAGAAAAAGGCTACCCGAACTGCATGCAATTTGTCTTTCCACTCTTCTGCGCTTTCTGTCCTGTCTTCCAATGGTGTCTGCTGACTTCATGCTTCATTACCACTAAACAAGTTGTATTATTTTTGTTCTTGCTTGTTCGCTTAACTTGAATTGTTTGTGATCAGCTCCATGAAGTGCTTTGGTGGATTTTACTATCCTTTCAGTTTCAGTTTGTGAAGATTTTTGGTCATGCATAATCTGCAAGTTTCTCAGTTTTTAAAAGTTGTGTGTACACGCTTAAAAATGCCAGGTCGAAAGTAACCCAAATTGGGTGACGTAGCTAACCCAGCGCTGGGTCCAAAAGGCACAGGGCCACTGCTGGGTTATTTATACCCAGCACATTGTGTCAACATTTTTTATCCAACAAGGGGTAAAAATTACCCTACCAAGAAACGGGCTACGAGGTTTTCAGTATAATAAATTTTACGACCAACATTTTCACCCAGTCAGGGGCCGCCACAGCAAGTCACTCACATGATATATTTAACGCAGTTTATACATCAAACGTTCTTCCTAAAATTTAACCCGACCATTTTATCCAACCATCACTGTGACTTGAACCCCACCCCTGTGGCTTTTAAAATAAAATGCAAGAAAATGAAATCCCCAAATAAGTTCGATACATGGGCCTCGGTTCACCCTTTCAGCAAGTTTCTTAAAACACACTGTAAACACAGCAGGATATGATTAATGTATTTAACCCTTTCAAGGACAGCGGTTACTACAGTGGACAGCCTGTCATGTTATTGTCATGTTAGGGTGCATGAAAGGGTTAGAGTTGCATTTGGAAATTACATATCATATCACACCCAATTTTTTTTTTTTTTAATTAACGCAGCTAAAATGCTTCATAAAAAAGCATAAATTTGCATTTTTTCCTCATCTCTCCTAGTTGCAGTAAGCAAGCAGCCACAATGGATGACTTTTGGTCCACTCAGGAATTTTCCAATCGCCATCCCCACCACCTCCAAAGACCCTCCTTCCACCCGTTCCCTGCGGTGGACTCCCCCCAGGACTTCCCCCAGCAGTTTGCAAGCCAAGAGAAAAACCATGTGACGTCCTTCTTTTCTGCAAGACGGAGCGCGACTGCCTTCGATTGGTTTGAGAGCGGCGAAAAAGAGAGAAGCTGCGACGATGCGGAGGCGGGATTTTACAACAACGGTAACTGGGACGTAAACTCGGCTCAGAATTTTAATCCGGCTTTGAGTAAATGGAGACAGAGTATCGGAGAGTTCCAAAATTGGGATTTGGGGTCGAGCGGCGAGACCCCCAGCCCGTTATCGGAGGTTTCCTGGTGCCAGTCCACTCCGCTGAGCCAAATAGTGCTCCCTCAAACTTTACCCTCGCTGAATCCTCCCCAGGTGCCAGCCACCCAAAAACCGGACGCCGTCCTAGAAACTGTACCACACAGAAGCATCCTCGAGAGTCATTGGCCCGTTTGGGGGGCCAAAGGAGAGCACTTTGGGTCAGAGAAGTTATTCAATCCCAACACCTGCTTGTCCGCCGCGCCACCCTTCCCGTTCTCTCACCTGGAATCCTCCGTGCTCAGTCCTCCTCTCACGCCTTTGCCAGCCCCGTCTCACTCACCAGCCATGACGTGCAGCCAGTCGCATTCGCAGGGAGGAGACGACAACTGGCCGCTCCACTTTTTTGTTTCCAACCCGCAGCCACT